AATTTTGAAAGTGTTCCGGAAAGTCTGACACTTTTATATATATCTTAAATTAAAGCTAATGTAATTTATTTTATTATGCAAAAAAAAAATTTCGGACTTTATTTTATCTTCACGATGAAAATGGCTACCAAATTTTATTATTATGTGAAAATTCTCGATTTTATTTTTTACATTTTTAACTTTATAATGCTATGACATATGGAAAAGTGTATGGATCAACATTATTTTTTTATGAGAAATAATATTTTTTAATAATCCCTTTTTCATTCGACATACTTTATCTTAATTAGGATATTAATAATGAACTAGCAGATCATGTAGCTTTTGGAATATTCCACCAATTTTTTAAAATTAAACACTATCTAAAGATTTGCATCGAAGCGTTTTTTTTTTATAGTGATTTTAATCACTGTCAGATATCATAATACTTGATCCAACTATGCCACGTCACCACTGTGCCGCGACCCCCCTGTGCTGGTTTTTTTTTATAAATGTGACCCTTTATTTGCCCACAGGGGCGATTCAAAATGACAATTTTCAAACTTAACTTATGAAAATGTTCCGGACACTTTTATATATATCTTAAATTAAAGATAATGTAATATACTTCATTATGGAAAAACAAAATTTCGGACTTTATTTTGTCTTCACAGTGAAAATAGTTACCGAATGCTATTTTCGTGTGAAAATTATCGATTTTATAATGCTATAACTTATTGAAAAGTGTATGGACCAATACAACATTTTTATTCCACTACTACGACCGCACAAGATATATATATATATCATGTAAGTTGTAACTGCACAAGTGTATTTCTCTTAAAAAGTTATTTTGAGCAATAATTGGCGTCGCCAATGTCGATCAACCTTATATTTTTATCTATGCATCAAACTTCAAACATTATTGAGTGCAGTCATTTCCGGTATTAGTGTTTTCTATACATTAGTTGTGTATTTTAATGTTGGAGGTTAAATGTTATTGTCGTATCATTTCAATTTTTCAAAATTGGAAATTAGACAATTTGTACAGATTAGGTTTACTGATTATCGCACAACGACTATAGTTTTAGTTAGTTAGTGACGGATATTCGTTGGTGTAGTTTATCCGTACCTACTTTTGCTATTCGAATCAAATAATATTACTTATTAAGTGTGAAATTTCTTAAATGCCGAAGTAAAAAAAAACCCATTGTTACGTGGAGATCACCCTTGTGTCTTTCGTACAGATGGAGCTTTATTATTTTGTGAAACTAATGTATCGTGTGACAGAAGATCGCAGATTACTCATTCAAAAACATCAAAACACATTGAAAATGAGAAGTTAAAATCAAATAAAGACTAGGTTAGTCAACAGTTTTTAAAAAGTCGTTTGATCAAACCAAAAGAAGCAATAAAAATCTAAATGAGTTTAATAAAGATATCTGTACCTTTCTGGTGGCAAATGATATTCTAATCTGGAAACTACAAAACCCAGATTTCAATAATTTTTTCGAAAAATATATTAAATTAAAATTATCTGATGAATCTTCACTACAAAAAAATTATGTTCCACTGTGTTATAAAGACGTATTACAATGCATCAGGAAATAAATAAAGGATTGTTCTATCTGAGTATCAATAGACGAAACTTTCGATGCCCTAGGGCGTTAACGTCGCAAGTGTAATAATTGGTTCTCTATCTTCAGGTAAGTCAACGATACCAATTGTTTTAACTGTTAAAAAATTTAGAAAAGGCCAGCTTTCAAACAATTTCAAAATTATTCAATGAGTATACTGTGAAAAAGTATTTCATGATAAAGTATTACTTTATGTCACAGACGCTGCCCCTTACATGAATAAATCTGGAGCGCTGAAAGTATTTTACCCAAAACTAGTTCACATAACATGTTTGGCCCATGGCCTTCATAGGGTATCGGAAGCTATTAGGGTTCATTTTCCAAGAGTTGATTTGTTAATTTCTAACACAAAAAAAGTATTTTTAAAAGCTCCTGCTCGGGTAAATAATTTCAAAGAAATGTGTCCAAATTTAGGTTTACCGCCACAGCCCGTAATTACTCGTTGGGGAACATGGCTTGATGCGGCTTTCTATTGTGATAAAAACTGTGATAGAGTCAAAGAAGTTGTCAATACTTTTAATAAAAATGATGCAAAGTCTATTCAAATTGTTCAAGAATTATTTAACGATAATACAATAAAAAATGATCTTGCAGTTATGCTATCAAATTTTCAATGTATCACAGAAACAATCAAACAAATAGAAAAATGTGGCGCTAATCTCAGAGAAACTTTTACATTATTCAAAATAAATTAAGTGAAGAAGGGATAGCCATAGAGTTTGCTAAACTTAAACTAATGCAAGTATTAACAAAAAATCCAGGATATTCTCAAATTAAAAACATTTGTGGAATATTAAGCGGAGAAATGAACAGCAGTAAGACATAGAATTAAGTGTGGGTGGTTGAAGTGGAGAGAAGCGTCTGGCGTCTTATGCGATAAAAGAATTCCAATGAGGCTGAAAGGTAAATTTTACAAGACTGTAATAAGGCCAGCTATGGTTCAGAGTGTTGGGCGGTTGATAAGAAAGTAGAGCAGAGAATGACCATGGCAGAGATGAGAATGCTTAGATGGATGAGTGGAGTGACTATACTCTGTGTCCACGAGAGAACGTACTTGCTTTTTCGTCCGTCGCTGCGCATCCCCCATCATTTTCGATGGTGTTATTATGATAACATGTGTTTATTAATAATTTATATTAAAAAAAAAATCCGTATAACCGATGTTGCGCGCCGTCGGACCGTAAGAAGTGGAAGAAATTTGACTTCCGCGCTGTCACCGGCGTCAGTCAGATGCGCTGATCGAGTACGTTCTTTCGTGGAACAGAGTATAGAAAAGATAGAATAAGGAACGAGCATATAAGAGGGAGTATAGGTGTAGCGTCAATCGTAGATAAGATGAGAGAAAATACTTAGATGGTTTGGTCATGTTATGAGGAGAGAAGAATCGGAAGCTGTAAAAACAGTTATAGAAATGAATTTTGAAGGAAGAAAAGGTAGAGGAAGACCAAAAAAAGAGATGGAGGGATGTTATTGAATGCGATATGAGGACAGCTGATATGAGCGTAGATGTTGTGGGAAATCGTGTCAAGTGGAAGTTTGGGATAAGAGTGGCTGACTCCAAGTAGTTGGGATTAAGGCAAGGAAGAAGAAGAAGAAGAGGAGACATGAACAGCAGTAATGAAAGTATTGAAGAGTTGTTCCCTGAAGAAATTTCTTTTTTTTAATATGCTCCTATTGTATCCTGCGACGTCGAAAGAAGTTTTTCTATATATAAATCAATGCTCCGTGACAATAGAAAAAGTTTTAAATTTGACAATTTATAATTAAATTTTGTTATTGTTACTATTCGTTCAATAATTAATATCATAATAATTTTGTTTGTATTGTGTTGTTTTAATAATTACATTAACATTGCATTTATTTTATATATAGATATTTTAAATGGATTATCTATTTTTATCACCCGTTTGGTAATTTTTTCAATATTTTGTTTTTTTAACCACCCAAATGTGTTTTATATATTAGAAAAACATATATACATATTTTTTGCATATTTTCACATTTTTATATGCATAAATATGTGCATATTTAGCAATATTTTTTGCATAAAAATCCGAGCCCTAATGATCATATTCCATAAAATTATTGTACCGCCGACTAGGCTTAAAACATTGACACAGAGACACACGTATTACTATAAGTGGACTGCACACATAAACACATTTGGAATTCACGACTACCGTGTCGTAATACGAATGTCCCAAACGCTAGTTGACTTTACCATCATCGCTACCATCGAGATAGTGTGTGTCATCTCCCTATTATATTGTCATCTCTAGGTGTCCAGCAGGTTGTATTGCTTATTTAATATTTCGTTTCTTAATAAATATTTATGTCGTTGTTAACCAAGAGTATAAAACACTCTTGGTAGTTCTTCTAAGGGAATATAAATTAAATAAGAAACCTTAATACCTAAGATAGGTATAGCCTAGTCAGCTATCTCTCTAAGGGAACAAAGGTTCCCTTAGAATACTGTTGACGGGTATGTAGGCTCAACCCCTAAATAGTGACGTAACAGGTATGAACTTTATTTTAAATAGAGGTACTTACCCCGCATTGACTATGCTTGACGTATAATATAGGTATTAATAATTAACCAAAAAAATTAAAACTATACAATGAACAATGAATTTTTTTACACAAAAGTAACACTTATTGTATAAATTTATCGATTTTAAAAATCGAAAATTTTGGGCGATATCCACCATTGACAGAGAACGAGGGATATCTTTTCAATTCTTTACTAAATACGATTTATGTTTTGAGATATCTTTAAAAGAAATTGGTCCGTTAAGAGCTGAGAAATATGGTGAAAGTAACAAAAAAAAAACAAATCATAGTAAAATTAATATCTTCTAAGATTCGCATCAAAACTAAAATATGTATCAGGAAGTCTAAAAAAGCACGACATTTTTTAAGTATGTTTAAATAATTATAATCTAAATATACAAGGTATAATTTATTTTAAAACTATAAAATAACTGAAAACTGTTTCGTGATAGTACTAATTACTTATTTAATTTTACAGCAATTAAATAATAAATAATTTAAATTAACAAAATTTAAGTTTTATTTTATATTATGGTGTGAGTTATCTCAGAAAAAATCTTAAAACTAAAATAAAACAAATATTTTAACATATTAAATGTACATATTATGTTTAAAAAAAATAGTTTTATTATTTAGGTTATATTTATAAGTACATAAAATACAAATATATTACAATTTATTGCAAATAAATAATGCATATTAACATTTACATAAATTAAGAATTTCTTCTTTTATTATAACAAAAATAACACCATAATAATAAAATATGATCATGAAAAACATAAACAATATAATATAAGTAGGTCACAGAAAGTGAAATAGACATAAGATAATACAGCAATAATCTTTTTTAATTGTAAACAATGTTTAAAAAAAAATTATTAAGTTAATAGAAAGAGACTAGGATTATACTAAATTATAAAAATATTTTATAATTTCACAGTAATAACGAAAATTAAATTCAGAACACATGATGGGGATATGTTTTAATTTTTTTTTTACAAATTAATAAGTAAATTCATTATAGAAGGTTAACATTCATTAAGAATTGAAATCTCAATGTTTATGTAGATAGTTCAACTTAACAAAATATAAATAATGAATTATAACATTTAGTCAGAATTTATTTTAGCTGCATTAAAATAGGCATACTTTTTTTACATTTATTTAAACTGTCATATGTTAATGAAATAATACTATAATCCAGTAACTAACAAATGAATGACTAAAATTTAGTCTAAAACATGAACTTACAAAAATTTTTATATCACAATATTTCAAAATCATCATCTGAATCTACTTGCAGTTTTTTATCATTCAGCTCCAAATCTAAAAATGTAATTATTATTATTATTATTCCTTTATTCGTAGGCTAATTAGATTAATTTATTAATTCATATTATTTATAAATATGACTGATTTATTGATTAAAAGATAAGAATAAGGGTAGGAAATAGAATTTTATAAAAGATTTTAACTAATGAAATTTTGTTCACAACGAATCCTATTGTTTTTATTTAATGTTGAAGATTTCCTAAAGCTTTTTTTGAGAAATTAAAATTAATTTAACAGGAATAATAAACAATTAAAAATTATTTTTTAATTGAAATGGTTCTATAATAAATAATAACACAAAAATATACTTATGCTTAACAAATAAAGTAAAAAAAAGAAAGATTTCTAGAAAACAAAATCATATTGACTTTTGAAAGATGCAATATAGGTTCATGACATCACAGATTCTACTTCTACAGTAACTTATACATTTCCTATGAGATGTAACTTTTTACTTACAATTATATCCCTTTAAAAATTGAATGTCAAATGTTATTTAATTTTGTTATATGTAATTGGGCTAGTCCAATTACATAATTATATTAGTACATAGTACAATAGTATTTATTAGTATTGTACTTAATTAGTATTTCAAGGAGTAAATAGAGGTATAGAAGAGTGGATATTATGAGATTGAGACTATCTTGCTATCTAAAAGATTAAAAAGGAAGGATAAATTAGCCATATAAAGGCAATCAGTAAATGAACTCAAAGAAAAGTTTATTGTATTGAAGAATATTCACTATAAGGAAGTGAAATATTTGGAGTGTAGACAGTTTGTTGAAAAAATTTAATCTGAACATGTTCTAATATGGACCGAACAGAAATAGTAAATAGTTCCCATAGAACACCTCTATATTCTAATATGATAGATGGAATTCATGTAAAATTAAGTTTACTTATGATGTGAACCTATGATCCAAATTATAATTATAATTTACCAGGTAAATAAAATTTTTTTTTTTATTTTATTGTGTAAGAGATTTATATTTATATATAACTCAACACTTATATTTTTATTAATACAAAAAAATTTAATTATTCAACTAAAATTTGTTCTGATAGATACATTTAAAATTATTAAATACTACCTTGTATTTTTGCATAATTTTTATGAAATCAATATTTTTAATAAAAAATAACCATGTTTTAGAAAATATATTCTTTTTTTTTTTTCATAAATACAATGAAACCTCATTAATCTAGACCCAATTATGTACAATATGACAAGACAAAATTATATTAGAGCCAAAATCCAACCAAAATATCTAATAACTTCAAACGTTTGAGTACTGTTTGGCATTACTTTCTAATATAACCATATCTTGTCATAATTGTAAATAATTGAATCCAAAGTTAACAATGTTTTACTGTACACAGAAACTTACTAGATAATGATACAGTTACAGCCTCATAAGAAGTAGTCAATGTTGATAAATTAGAAGAACTATCTAAAGTCCAATCAATTGGTCTATCATCGCATATTGTTATTAGTGATTGTGATGCTTGGTCAGATTGCACTAAATGAACTTTTAATTCATGACAAAGTAAATGAAAATCATCTTCTGTTTTACATAAAAAACACTGATACAGAAAAAAAAAATTAAAGAATATATATAACCAAATTAAAAGAAATGGTTGAAATATGAAAAAATTACTGCTGCAAGAGATGGATCCATGTTCAGTATTGGAAGTCTATTAACTTGTTGACAGTGATATGAGTTATCAATTTTAAGATCAGTTTCGATGTCTTTATTGGGCAGCATTCCTATTTGTTGAGTTGTATGAGGATCCAAAAATATCACATCATTACCTAAAAAAAAATGTTCTTAAGCTTCATTGATAAATTAAATAAAAATTAATTTTATATTCAGTTTTTTAATTCAGTGTAAATTTAACTTTACCTACAAATCCTATGAAATACAATGCATGATTTGGTCTACCACCAATTATTCCTAGAGATTGAGGAAATGTAAAACACATCTAAAAATTTTATAAATAATTTCAATACTTTCGTAATTCATAAAAAAAAAAAAAATTCTATCAAGGAGGTTTAATGTATTACTTTTTTAAATAATATACTATTTATTGTCAAATGATATATGCATAATACAGTGCCTAAAAATTTGGACAACATTTCATGTAAAATATAATATACTAAATTCAAAACACCTTATAAAACCCTCAATAATCTATATTGAAAAAATATAAAACTTAAATTAAATTTTTGTTATGTAATTAAAAAAAATGAAAAAGTAAATATTATAAAATAATAAAGGGTATAAAAAATATATGATAAAAATACTTACTTTAACACCTTTTATGTATGCTGGATTAATTGTGCTTATTCCAAGTCTCAATGGTATAACCAAAACTAATGGTTTCCAGTTTTTTTTATTTAAACAAGCTTTATTAACATGGTCTGTTGTATTACAGAGTTTAACTAAAATTAAAATAAAAATTATAACTTTATCTATTTGGTACAAATTAAATGGGGAATTGAACTTAATACATGCTTAATAATAAGCCAAGCAGGACTAATCTATTAGTCAATAACTAATTACTAGATTACTAACATGTAAAATGAATGATTTGCTATTTTTAATTCTTAAATCTTTTTAAATTTGAAGGCAAAATAATAAATGTAAGTATTACTCTTATAAACAGTAATCAACTTTTTCATGATATACTAAGTATTATTTATTAACATTTATAATAATAGACTTAAAAATACTGAATTAACTAAATTTGGTTTTAATAACATGTTTTTATTTCTGTAATTAGTGAAGTATTATACATATTATTTAATCAATCATTTCTACTATTTATTAATTATTACTATTTGACTAGTATTAATTTTTTATTTTAAATTTTAACAGAATGATGACTTTTATATGATGAAAATATTAAATGAAGTCTCAAATTTGATTTGTATCATTACTCAAATTTATTATAATTATTTGAACTAATTAACATTGTATTTAAAATACTTTTTATGTTATGTTATATATAATTTTATTTAAGAACATTTTTATATTTAATAACACAAAGTGTACTAACTTAAGTAAGACTATGTACTTCTTAAATACCATACCAAATTTTCAAATTTTATGTTAGTGTTGAGTTAATGTAACAACTCAATCTTAAACAAGAAATGTTATTAATAAATTTTATTGATTAATAAAATAAATAAATATATTTATTGATAAATCAATGATATGAAATATCATGAGATTTGAAAATATTGATATTGAATTATTTTTTAATTAATTAATTGATATTGATATTGATTTGAATAATTATATCATTGAAAACACCTAGTAAATAATAATCACAGCATGGAACCAGATAATTTTTTATATATATTACTTACGGACTTCATTAATGACTAGTGTATTATCTAATGCTACATGAAAAACAATTGAACTCCACTCATCTAAAGAGGCTAGTTTTCTAAAAAAAAAACTTGTTACATTAAAAATATTAATTTTTTTTTTTCACAAAGAGAGCTTACTTTAAAACTTGAGCAATTGTGTTTGGACCAAACCATTCTCCAATTTGTTTACCATGAGAAACTCCTGTTAAGGCAATTTGATGAATTGAATAAGGCGCAGATCTTTTATCTTCAAACATTCTCAATATTTTTAAATAGTCAATATCTCTTTTATCAGGATTCCAACGCCAATCTCGTCCTATTATAAATAGACAAATACTTAATAATAACCTTAACATTATAAAATATTAATAAAAATATGAAAACTTATTTTTAAAATTATCTAACTATATTAAATGGTATATTTACCAAGGTGTAAAAATATTAAGGCTTGACCAATAACCATCTGACCACATCTCAACATACAACCCCAACCTCTATCAGATGTAAAATTTGAATTTCCAATTTGTAAAAAACCTTTTCTATAAGTAAACCATAATCTAGATTGAATATCATTTCGAATCTGTTGTATATCTAAAAAGTAAACATTAACAAATAATATGTTAAAAAAACTAAAATTAAAAAAATGTTTCTGTTAAATTTACAATGGAAAATAAAAAAATATAAAAATTAATAAAAGATCAGTAAAAACAGAAAAATTATATTAATTTTGTGATTAATAAGTATATTTAACAATAGCTCAGTTGACAAATATTTAATGAATAGCTGAGAACGGGATACATTAAAAGATATTTAATAAAAATAAGATAATAAAATAACAGTGTATGCTTAAGACTCAAAATTGGCAAACAAAAATTAATCATATGTGACTAAGATTATTTTAACTTGAAAATATATTTTTAATATTAAATAAAAAATTCAATTAATAAAGAATTCTGATATTTTGATATATTCCAAAAAAATCTTATAAATTTATAATAGTATAGAAAAAACAAAATGAAATAACAGTTATTTTCAACATATAATAAAATTACCAATAATTGCACTATATTTTTTTCCTAATATCCAAACAGGCTCAACTGTTTGTGGTATATCTTCTAACTCCAATAAACTCGATTCATGAGTTAAGTAAGCTTCTAACATTAAATCCATGCTTATTCTATTCAAAATCTTACGACTATGTCTCTGGATCAAATTCTTCAAATCCATTCATAACTGGAATAAATTAGAACTATTAAATTACTATAAAATATTAATATTAATAAAAAAAAAATTAATCTTGAAATTTTCAATTATAATTATTCAATTAAAATTTACCAGATTATAAAATAAATAATAATGTTCATAAAATACTATTACTAATAACATTAATGCAGATAATTATTAGCAAACAAATACAAAAGAGAATTCTACTTTTTACTATTTTAAATGTGTAAAAAGAAGAATAAGAAAAAATGTTGTTAATTTCATAAAGTACATAAAGAGACGTTATTACAAAATAGTGCAAATAGAAATGATCAAAAAAATCAAATGAACACATATAATGACACTTACAAAGCTAGATAAAATTGATTACATTTATTTTAAGTATATGTAACTCGAACGACTTGTTGCTGTGTTTGAATTGATAGAGCAACAAAATCGACGAGCATCTCTTACGTTGTAACCATTACATTTTTTAAATTCCTTTGCAATTTCCTATTACTCAAATGTAATTATGAACTTTAATATGGAAAAAAATTGTAAATGATGATAAATAAATAAATTGAATTTTTATTTTTACTTGCTATGAACAAATTGTTCAATTATTTATTGTAACAAACTGAATGTCCTTCTAGTCAATGGAATGTAAAAAAAAATATTAAAACGTAAAAAATGAAACATATAAATTGTAATGACACTAATAAAATTTAAATAATTAAATAATAGATTCGCAATTTATATAATAGAAATTAATGCGAAACCAATTATTTTCTAATTTAAGAAAAATTAAAAAAAAATTATTAGAACAATAATAATTTAATGGTGAAGTGTTAATTATATTCATTTATTTGTGATATAAGGTCTTTCTTTATGTTCACGATAACAAAAATAGTATGTAATGTGATAACAGATGCACTGCTGTGGTAAATCAAGGTAACGTTCATACTAAACGAACATTAATCTATTAAACGCTTAGAGGGGATCTTGTAATATTTTATATTTCAATAGAAAAAACAAAATCATGCCAATATTCTCTTGGAAATTTTGATGAAGGATTTTTTAATTAAGTCATAATTCATAAAGCCCAACGTATAATGAAATTTAAAGACATCACTCCTAGTAGTCTTAATTGTAATAAGTAGTATGTGACGTCAAAATAGCTTTTAAAATAATTATAGTGGTAATTATCATAAGTCAATTTCCTTTTCACTTTTTGTTATGAAGAAATTCTTTTACTTATAAATTACTAAATTTTGCTGTGTCAGTGTAATTTCAAAAATAACTTGATAACAATAGTTCATCAAAAGGACGTTGTACGATAGAAATCGTAAGATTTGCTGCATAAGCAAATTTTATCACTTAAAATATTAACTTAACTATTAGTCATTTTACACTTTTACAACTTTTAAAAATTATATATTAAAAAATAATTAAAAACATAATATTAACCAAATTCTGTAATGTAGCATAATTTAGTTTGATTACTTGAGACTAAAGTACTGCCTTAATTATGTTAGAAAATGATCAATTGGGTTAGACACTCATTTTTTTAAAAACAATTGAAAATTTTTTTTATTTATTATAAATAATAAAATATTTGATTCAAAACTATAGAATAACATGAGGTTAATTAATTTTTTTTGTTTTTAAACAATAAAAGTTTTTACTTTTCCATTTTGTCACAAATTAGTTATAAATTAAGGTATTATCCAATATACATAAAGATAAAACAAATAAATTAGTAGTCCTTAAATTTATAAGTAAAACAATAAATTTTTCTAATATTCTAATTTTTACACAAATAAAGTGCTTTTTTTATTACTTCATGTTTGTTCTCCCCACTAACACAACTCTAGAGGTCAATTTTTTTTTTTAAATTAAATTATATTACTTAAGTTTTAATTCAAGTTAAATATTAAAGTGTCAGTATTTCTACAACATTTTCAAAAGTTAAGCTGAAGAATTAAATTTTTTGTGCTAAATTTACCATTTTTATTCTTCCCTGTTGGTAGGTAAACGGTCAGATTTTCCAAAAATATATACCAAATGATATGAAATTATTTAAGATATGTTAAAAAAAAATTAATTTTTTTTCAAATAATAATAACAGTTTTAAGAAAATAAAGTTTAAAAATGTCAAAATATACAGATTTAAAAAATCGAAATTTTTGGGCGATTTGCACTATTTATGAGGAACGAGGGAAATGTTTTTTAAATTATAAAAACAATTTTTTTAACTAAATACAAATGAAATCTTTTGAGATACCATTGGAAGAAATCTGTATGATGAGAGCTGAGAAAAAATGGCGACAGAAACAAAAAAAACACATCATAGTAAAATAGCTTCACAGCTTCCCATCGAAGTTTATATGAGTTCTTATTTCACAAAAAANACATCATAGTAAAATAGCTTCACAGCTTCCCATCGAAGTTTATTGAGTTCTTATTTCACAAAAATATTATTAAAGACTTCTAAGTTATATTTTAAAAGTCTGTTATTATTAAATTTTACGTGTTCATATTGATAATTTAAAACTATAACTATTTAAATAAACTACTGTATTTAATTTATTAAATTTTCTTTTTATATACAGAGTGATTGAAGTGTGCCCGATCCCAAGTAGTTGAGATAAAGACTATGAAAAAGAAGACATACAGATTGATTGAATTATCATTGATTACAAGATGTCTCCTTAAATAATAATAAAGTTAAAAAAAAAAAATCCGGCTTTGTTGAGTAGTATGTATTTTTCAATTTATAAGCGGTTAAATAATTTTTAAATGATTTTCCATTACCTTGACTACGCCACTGGATACATTCTTTATTTTTGTACATATTTTATATATTAGATAAGTTTGAGTGCACTTAGTTAATTTTTTAGGTTTTGTTGTTTTAAATTTGGTATTTAATATATTAATGAATAAAATTTATTAATTCAATAATAAGTGATTGTTGTAACAATCACTATTTTATTTATAGTTACAAAAAAATGTAAAATTAATTCACTAAAAGTAATCCTAAATTAATTTTAATAAACTATTTAATTCAAAATCAAATTAAAGATTTATAAAGTATACGTGCAGTGAAACGTAAATTCGCTAAAACTGTAGTGAGGCCAGCTATGATGTATGATTCAGTGTTTGGCGGTTGACAAGAAAGTAGAGCAAAAATGAGAATGCTAAGTTGGATGAGTGGAGTGACTAGAGAAGATAGGATAAGAGACGAGCATATAAGAGGGTGTATAGGTGTAGCGTCAATCGTGGATAAGATGAGAGAAAATAGACTTCGATGATTTGGTCATGTTATGAGGAGAGAAGAATCGGAAGCTGTAAGAACAGTTATAGAAATGAATGTTGAAGGAAGAAGAGATAGCGGAAGACCAAAAAAGAGATGGAGGGATGCTTTTGAATGCGATATGATTACAGCTGATGTGGGAGATCGTGTCAAGTGCAAGTTTAGGATAAGGGTGTTCGACCCCAAGTAGTTGGGATTAAAGCGAGGAAGAAAAAGAAGAAGAAAGTATACGTGCGGGAGAAACTTGGCAGTTCCGTATTGGCCTTAGTATATACTATATTGGATCAAATGAAATTACGTTTTTGAAACTAATGAATATAAAATTTATAAAATAAACAAATCATATTCAAAATAATAACTCGTACATGTTTATAAACAGTTAATTATAATTTTCGAGTAGGAAAATTATATAACTTACATTTTAAACTTGAAATTTTCTTGTTTCTACTCACCAGACAGCTTGATAAATATTGCATCATGTACTACACATCATAAAAGTTATACTATAAATGATCAATTCAACATTAATCATTTTAAAGACCATTTAATAATTATTCGATCCTTGAGACAACGTGCTGTTTCTTTTTACCTCACATTCCTTTATTAGCTTTAATTTAATGTAGGTTTAAAGAAGGTAGGTATTTTGGAGAATTATCAAAAATGAAAAAAATTTTAGATGATTTTTAAACCCCCACAATACCTTGGTTAATGATCGAATTATTTAAAAAAAGTATGCTTTAAGTAAGATAAATGTTGAAGTATTATCAATAAAAATTTCACAATAATCCATTGTTTTCAAAAAGTTTTATCAATATAAAAAGAAAATTATCAACATTGCTTAATATAGTGTCATTTTTTAGGACATTATCCTTTATGATAATTGAGGGTAATTTTTGAAAATTATGGTGCCGATAGCTTCAATTAGATACGTTTTGTGATCTTTTGACATATACAGTACTATCAGTGCATTAAGAGTGGATTAATGGCGTTTAGCTAAAAAAAAAAAAAAATACTTGGCAGAATATAACTAATAGCTTCCCATATAAAATAAGTAACAATGTTTTAGTATTAAAAAAATATTTTTTTAGGCTATAACCAGGAGTCATTAGGATCTAATGTTACTAAATTCCGACTTTGGACATAATAGACTATAATTTTTACTCTAAATTATACTGATCAAATATATTTGAGCTACTAAAGTAAATAATTAGTGAACTGGAAAATGCATAATTTTATTGAAATTAGTTTTATATAATTCTACTCATCAAAGATATTTTATTTCATTTAAAAATTTAGAGCATCAAACTAATTTTTTCCATAGTTTAAAATGTGTAAGAAGTAAATATTTCATTTGAAAATTTTTCCAACTAACACTCATTACGACATATTTATTAAAGCACTCAATAAATCTCTATTTAATCTCTTGTCAAGAGATTTTTAAACACTATGATTCCATGTGTTACATCAGTGGCTTATTTCATAAATAATAAAAAAATAGGCCAAAAAGAAATAAATAATTTGATATACAAATTGAGAAAAATTGCATTTATTATCTAGTCTTTGATACGGGTTCTTAAACATAAGACAAATATATATTATACATACAAATTTTGGACGGATTATGATACAATGAATGTTTGAAATAAAGTTTTTAAAGAGGAGAGAATATAACATTACAGTAAATGTAAAAATATATATTATAATATACAAATTCAGTTGTTAAAAATTATTTTTATTTATCAGGTGTTAATTAAGTCTTTAAAATTATATTATGGCAAGATCATTACATTTAACTTGGATAAATAGTATTTTTAAAAATGCATTTGTATTAATCAAAATAACTACATAAATGAAAAATTGTTGACAAATTATTTTTACTTTTAATTGATATTCAATGATGTAAACAATTTGAATTAAAAGACAAATACTATTTATCATCAAAGTTACTGATACATGTAAAATTATTTTACAAATGAAATAGTACCCTAATGACAATTCATTAATACAATAAAATAAGTATACACGTATAACAATAATAATTCACATATAAAAATTTGTTATTTAGTGATACTAATACAAAATAAAATGCATATTTCAAAAATAAAAAACCAAAGCTAATGAAAATTGTAATTTGAGTATAAAATATCCAACACATAAAAAGCACACATTTAAAAAAATACATAAAAACTTTAAATTAGGGCTAAGCTCAATTTAATGAATAATATATTTTTATTATCAATGAAAATTATTCACATTTTGATTATTAAATAAATTATATAAAATAAATATATTTATTTCAGTAAAAAAAATTCACAACTCAATAATGAAAATATAAAAATTCGGCTAAATTAATATTAAATCTAAGTGTTATAAAATTTGATTATCCAATGGCTAAACTTGGCTAGAGCTCTTACACTAAATGAACTTATGTTTATGCTATTTATTAATAGTCCTTATTTATCAGTCTTTAAGTTAATAATACTTTCTCTTTATACAAAATAAATATTCTAAACAAATTACTATAAACTGGAAGACTTAAAGTTTGTCAACCTGATCATTATGTCCCAAATAGTTGATAATAATGTTAAACTTACAAAAAAAGTAAATTTATTTACTTTTAAAAATTGATAGCTAATACAAAATTATTAATATATATTTTTTAATATATAATAAAAATTAAAATAGACTTTATATAAAATATAAATATTTGGTTGTGAACATACTGAAAATAATACAGGTATATATTGCTCTGTCAGCCATATTTCAATATTGGATATGTCAGTTGATGACTATTGTAATATAACAGTATGATGGTCTATTATGATATAAGAGGAATAGATAAAATTAATTTTTAATATGCAATTTAACTAATTTTTATTTGTTTTAAAATAGAGGTAATTTTACTATACCATATTAAAAGCAAAAATATTACCTAAGAACAATATCATCCATGATATTTCTTTGATATATACATTTGAATAAATAAGAAGGATGATAAGAAATTTAAATATTAACAGTACCTACTCCAATGTACAACTCTTTACACCTAATTAATAATCGCAATACTGGATTTAGATTGTAAGGAGTCAAGTTATTTCTAATTAGTTGAACAAGATTTTTCTGCAAGCCCATCAATACGGCCATTGTACTCTGTAATTTTGTGTCACAACACAAACAGAATTCAGTCCATCTATTGCATATAAATTTTAAAATTCTCATAATATACAGTAGAAAACTAGTATCACTACCCAATAATAAATCTAATATTAATTCATTAATATCATTATTGTAAGAAATTATTTGTAAAAATTCAACTAAACTTGCAGTGGGATTCAATACATGTCTTAGCATAGGCAATGAGTTTCGACGATAACATAAAACTAATGAAATATCTATAGTACAAATCATACTCTCAATAAGTACATCATTTCGATCTGCAAAAAGTTGTACAATCCATTGTGCTATTGGGGTTTCAGGTAAATAAGACATGCACTTCTTTACACAAGTATCCAACTTACGGAGTACATCATTCACACTACTTTCAATTATAGCCATTTCTGCATCTATTTCTTCGGAATCTTCAGATTCTTCAGAAGAAGAATCACTAGATGATGATTCATTTTTTGTTTCCTTAATTATAGTTGCTACAGCTTTTAAAATTAATAGCACAGTATCTTGTAACAACTTCTTATCTCCATCTCCTTCACCTCCACCATATTCACCAGATCCTTTTTTGAATGGCATGTTAGTCAACATATTTTTAGTTTTTACCACTTTAACTAACTCCCGTGCCAACATGCACGGTTCTTCTTGCATTGTACCTTGAACCGCTAAAGTACTAGTATAACATAAACTTTCATTAAAAAGGTTGATTATATTTTTCCAAATAACAGGTTGTACTTTTGGTCTTCTCAAAAGTATTAACATTTGACCCAAATCAGCATAAAAGTACTTGATGTTCATTACATTTAAATTCGTTTTTATAGAGACCATTGAAGTCCATAATTTAATGAACTCTATAATAGCAATATGTCCCATTTTGTGCTCAAATAGTTCATTACTTAAATCTGTACAATGATCAAAAGATGACATGAATCTTATGAATTTTAATACTATCATTCTCCATTGAGGTTGTAAAACTTCTATAACTCTTGTTTTAACTATACTTAATCCAAATTCATCATCCATTTCAATTTCATCATCTTCAAAAATAACTTTTCTACTAATACAATTCTCTGCCATTTTAATATTTTTCTCTGAATCAATCATTTGTGCATCTCTCCAGCACAGTACACGCTTAAAAACTGATATAACAGGACATAAAGTTTCTGGTGACCGCCTAAGAAATAAATCTGTAAGCTGTTCTACCCATAAATTGTCCAATTGATTTTTTGAACAAATAAATATATCTGACAAAGCATAACTGGCTGCATATGAAATGTATGGATCTGAACGTGTCAATAAAGTTACTATTTCATTTACAATTCCAGTTCTATTGGATACTAGGTAATTGCTAAGACGCTCTACACTAGTACATATAGTACCTTCTGCTTGTTGTTTGAGAGCAATATCGCAAGTTAACCTAGCTGAACTCAAAAAGTTTAACAAACGATCTTTATTCCAACTACTTATGTCAGAGACTTGAAAAACTTCTTTTAACATACATGTCTCAGGTAGTTGACATAAACAATGTTTGGTTAAATTTAAGCTAACAGTATCAATATTTAAATCTACCAATCGATACTCATTGTCATTTATTTTTTGTTTTTTGGCAAGAGGTAATGTTTTGTTCACACTTTCTTGTTCTTCCATTTTTCAGAATAATTTTAAATCCTGAAACAATCAGATAAAAACCTAAATGAAACAATATTTTAAAATTAATAAGAGAAATATTAATTAAATGAAATTGAATTTAATTCATGTGCAAATATAATATATTTAGCAAGGATTATTAGAGATAGAAAGTTAAATCAATACATTTTTATTTTAAGTATTAGGAATCTTTATTCTAAAAAATATACTCTTAAATAACATTTCTTAATTTTAGACCATAATTAATACTGAAAAAAAAATATTATATGCCTACAAAGTGATTATTTTAATGCTATTCACTAGGTTTATCAATTTTATTTTTTAAATGGTAACGTATATATTTATTTAACTTATTTAATAGATAATGATCTCATTAATAAGAACTGGTTGATAACAACTTTTGTACCAGTATTCCAAAAGTTATAAACAATTTAAAGTATTGACTGGAATTAATCACAGGTTCTGCTATTTTTTTAACTAGACATTACTCAGTCTCATTCCTCTACCCACCTAGATAAAAAAAAATATTAATAACTTCTGGAATAATAATTCAAAAGTTGTTATCAATCAGTCATTTTATTAATTGCAAAATTTTCTATTTTATAAATTAATTAACTATATATGTTGCTTTATGAAAAAATAAACTTGTCAACTTTATAAGGTTTAAAAAATATTTGATGTTAGATAGTTGGAAATACATACAAGTAGTGGTCAAAATTATAAGACACCCCCAAATATTATATTTCACACGTATAGATTTTGGGATTGTATGCAATCGTAAACGTTTAAATCATCAAGTAAATAAATGGAACTCTTTTCTTTACATAATGTGTTCATAATATTATAAGAAAACCGATTATTTTGCATTAGTTCTATTTGCAATTTAATTCTTACTTATATTTTTGTTAAAAATTTTATTTTTGAGAATTTTGGTTATTAAATCATTTTAAAGGCTTTCTAAAAATTTTTTACTAACATCTACTTGCGTAATTTTTTTTTCAACTTATTTATTTTATTAAATTATAATAAGTTTGGTTTCTAAATATTATCAATGTTGTAAATTTTTAAGAAAATATAATTTATTATTTTATTGTGTAAGTTTCTAAATAACTATATTACGTTTCTAAATAAATTAGTTGAAATAATATAAAATATATGTTTTTATGTGATTTTTACCTAGCATATTGAAAAAATTAACATATTTTACCCTCCTTAAAAACTTGTATTATTTGCTTGTGGTTTGAATATTTTTAACTGGATTGACTTAAAAATATTTTTTATCAAATTTAATTATCCAACTAATATGTATAAAATTACACAGTTAAATATTATTAAAATTTATTCAGAAATCCTTTCAAATTATTTTATGACTGATATTTGCAAGATAACATTTTTAACGAAAATGTAAGTAAAAATTAAGTTACAAATGGAACACTTGCAAAATAAGTGGTTTTCTTTCATTTTATAAACACATTATATAAAGAAAAAAGTTTCATGCATTTACTTGATGATTTAAACATTTACGATTCCGTACAATCCCAAAATCTATACGTATGAAATATAAGATTTGGGGGTGTCTTATAATTTTGACCACTACTGTATGTAGTTAACAAAATCCATAAATAAAATAATATTTTAAGATAAATTGAGTAGCTAGTATTAAAAAAATCATCCTGAATATAAAAACAAATTAATTTTAACAACCATTATGAATAGTATAACATCTAAAATATTTTTTTAAAGGAACATTAATTTTCAGTTTGACTGTACAAATTTTTTGAAAATGACTACATAATTAAATTGATTGGTTTTAAACAATCATTACTATTATTAGGAAAATAAGATAAAAAACTGCTCTTAATACTCACTCTTCCACTTCTATAACAATTGCTTTATCAAAAAACAGCTACTAGTTTACCAAAATTAGAAAGAAATTTTCCGTTCCAGATAATTATAGCAATTTCATAAATATCAAAATATAAAGTACACAGAATATTTAATATGAATAACACTGAACTATTTTATTATCGTTCATAAAATTTCAATTTATACATACAATACAAGATAGCTCATTTCAATAATTCAGACAAGGTCTACGTTAATATTTCAATATCAGTTTAAGCTATATAATAACTAATTTACAGAGAAAAGTGTAAGAGTAGTTAACACTGAAAAGTTGCCTAATAGAAGAATATAAATGAAAAAAGCTAAAACAGTTGCCTTTAAGATGAATGTACAAAAAAATACATCAAATCATTGGAGTACGGTGCCATATTGTATAGCTTCTGGTGTTACACATACCTCCATATTGTAAAATGTTGTGTACAGTCATTTTGACAGTAAAGATGCATTTTCTTATGATACGTCGATCATGTTGTTTCGAATAATATTTTAATTCAATTACTATTACAACTCACCTTGCTAAATGTGGAATGAACAGTTAAAATATCCGTCATCGGTCGACTGCATCATAGCGTTGGTAGATACTCAGCGTGCACGCCACTACACAAACAACCGTAATAATCAACGCAACGACGAAAATTTTAGCGTTTAATGGAACACAAACATGACAGCTGTCGTTGTCGTAACAATTATTAACATTAAAATTGTTAATAAACAACAAAAACAAAAAACAAAACAATGGTTTATTGATAAACCACGAACGAGACGAAACACAATCGCGGCGGCAACAGGTATTTGTTGTTGTACGCGTTTTAGTGTGTTGTTGGCTACGGCGGCGGTGCGCGTAGCTTATGGAATAATTGAAGGCTATCGTGGGCGGTCGATCAGTGGAGGGGATAGTCGACGGGTTACCGCGCCGTAGTCGTATCAGTGTAGCCAACATTAATTAGACTGCAGTTGGTACTGTGTCATTCGTTGGCTCCGGACCGTTTACGATAATACACAGTCGCTTAAATCTTTATTATTTTTAATACACACAGCATGTAAGCGAACGTCTTCCGTGGTGGGAGGTGGAATACCGTACAGCGTGGCGAACGGCATCCGCTGGACCGTGTATTTTTGTCTGTCTGTAAACCAACTCGACCATTACTGCCGTCGGCCAACACGACCGCGCGAACAGCCAAAGATCACTACAAGAAGCTACCGGAATTCGACAAAACTACCAACGTGACTGGCGCTCTTATCTGCTTTCTATTGCAAACTTAAAAATATTAAAAGATTTACAAAAAATGCACTAGTATCTTACTTTTTCGTTTAGTTTACTAATAAATAATAGTTCCCCTATATAGAATTGAATTAATAATTTTGCTAATTTTATTCAAACTTAATGACAGTTTTTCTTATTACTCATAAAATGTTTGATATATTGGCCTATTGATAAAAAACTTGAGAGTTTTAAGTATGCTTTTGTGCATTTTCGATAAAATGTTTAGAGATATTTTTATTTTCACTTTTAAGCTTCAAAAATGTTTACATAATAGTTATTTACGTTGAATAAATCATTAAAAATAGATTTTAAATAGAATGAAATCGCAATTTTTGAAATTAAATACATTTTGTTACAACTGGACAAAATTCACTTAAAATATTTAACTATAAAGTAATTTTAAAAAAGGAGTTTTAGGAATGAGATCAACTTTTTACGTAGAAGTGTTTTTTGTAAATTCCGTTTTTAAGAGGCAAAAGAAACAAAGCCATAAAACTATACATATGAGAATCCACCAAAAAGTATATTCGATAAAAACAATCTTGGATACTTATGTTTCTGTAGTGTAGAATTACAAAATAATTAGGAATTGAACTTGCATTTTTTTTTAATCAATGTAATACAAATTATTACAGAAATGGTTGTTGTTATAATGTAGTTTTAGACCGCGCGTTTTCTTTTGAAGAGCCCAAACAACACTTAAATAAACTCTCTTCACGGTTAACTCGTCTCCTATTTTGATTAAAAAAAAAAATACATATAACACGTTGATTCGGTAATGTTAAGTTTTAATAAGAAAAAAAAGGCGACAATAGGCGCCTGAATACTCAATAAGTAGCTAACGATAGGGGACTATAAAAATTTGCTTTGGTAATGGGTTAATTGATCGTTAAAATGCGTTTAACAATAATTTTGTGTTTATATTTTCTTTAATTTTTTATTTCTGTATTACGACAAACCAGTTTTTATATATTCTAGATTTCCGAAGTTCGATAATAACTCGACGTGGGAAGTTATATTATGCCCCTCGAGAAATAAGAAGATGTAATCGTAAACAAAAACAAAACGTCTCGAGTGAAAAATGTTATTTTGTAAAGTATTCATTGTTCACGGTGTTAATACTGTACACAGAGTTGGAGCACTTTGACTTATTGGTGTCTGCGATCGGAATCGATGAGTTGTACACATTACATTACGTACACCGACACTGACCGGTACTATATGCGGACGGTGTAGTATTCATTAAGGACCGTGGTCGTATTTAAAATCAAACTGCTGTCAATAGGCTTTCGGCTTATAATAATAAAATACCCACATTACTGCCGCTCGCGTTACCGTTCCGTACAACAATGAATTGTACCTTTTTCCGTAGGACACACCATAGCCTATAGGTCTCCGGACGAGCCGAGTTGAAACGTTTCTGGGGATCTCTTCAGGATTTTTTCCTTTCTTTTCGATACAACTGTTGGGCGGTCCTTTTGGAATGGACCGAATCGAAATACACTGTCGCCTAGAAGAAGCAACATTGTTGACAGGCGTACAAGCAATTTTTGAAACGGGGTAGACAACAAATTAAAAAATAAATAAATACTCTTCTCGTGATTCGATAGTCTTGGCACACTTGTAATGTGTCAAAGTTTGAAATGTTCGAACTGCGGTCATGGACGTAGGAGTGCGACTAAATATAATGTTTTCTGATGTCTTAAATTTTTACACTAACTACACCATTTGAATTCTTCAGCTGATGCTAAATTGATTGGCCATCAGTTCAAATTCTATTTTTAATATTTCTAAAGAATTTACAAGTTTTACTTTCTGTGAGGTACACCATTTTCTTGTGCCGTTTTCCACGACAACATTCTTAACACATTATTTAACCAAATCTGAGCTTCGGCTAAACTGTAGTCGACAAATAAATGGTGGTAACCCGTGATTTTTTTGACGTATACAATGTATGTTTTATGTGATAAATAGGTACGGCGAGCAAATACTTAAAGATCGCCGGAGTATTGTAATAAGTTTTGGATGACACTGTCTTTTTATGAAGCAATCAGTTTAAAACTGTGATCAATGTACATATTTCCGGGAACAATAAAAGAATTGATCCTGGTCCTTGACCTTTTTTTTTTTTTTTATGTCACCTTTAGTAACATTCTTGTTGGTGTATTGTTGATCGTTAAATGCATATACGCAAGACGCACCCTCCTCACGCAACCTTTTCCCTTCGCATACAATAATCTAACGTAACAGATATATACTTTTTGTGCATTATTTATCATTTTCTTTTTGGTAAAAACGACCTGTGACGGCCATGACCGAAAAATATGTTACAACTAGGACGTATGCATTACAACGGCGTGAGACTCGATACATTATGTTAAAACGTTACGTTCGGCTGATGTGATCTTATAAGTTACAGGTAGAGAGACAAGAGGCCCGGCTTAAAAAATCGTTTGATGCGCTCACACACACACACACACAAACGCGCGCGCGTACATACAACAAACGTTAAGTTAAGCGATTACCGGCGAGTGTGTACGAGCGTGTGTTACTGTGTCATTAATTAAATTATACGACCAACACTTGGTGGTGCTGTGTACCGTCTGCCGGAACAATTACTAGAACAACGTTTGTCCATTCTTGCGATGTTCATGTAAATATACATGGCATGACCTACTCGTTTGTGGGATAATATATCGTGATGATAATTGTGAAGTGAATTATTGACAATAAGCGGCGGCGGTTATTGTTTTGTTTGTCTGAAATCGGCCACAGAAAAAACTCGCGGTACACGTATTATTATAAATTTGTATTATGTTATTATGTATGGCGAGCAAACGTTCCCACTCGTTTATTCTGTTCGCTCGGAATTTCCTGAAGCGTTCCTAGGTGCATACCGGTTTCTGGAGGTGCTCCGCCGCAGATTTAACCGTTCCGGGCCGCGATTGTGCACAGGTCGTTCGAGCAGAGCATAAAAAAGCCACCGCGTCATAATATACATGGCATCTCATCTGCGCCGTCCGCACAAACTGCCTCGACCAGCCCAAAGATGCCGCCAGTTCGAGTATCACACATTATAATTGTACATGCCCAGTCGGCGGTACACGGCCCACAAGTGCCGACGAACGCACAACATTCAAAGTGCTGACTTTTTTCCAACATTCGAATGAAGATATTTTATCACTATAAGTTTTATGGTAACTTGTGATGAATTACTTCCATTCCGTCATTGCGCTGTTAACTCTCTGGCCGTCAACGCGCGCAGCCAAAAGTATTTAAAAAACAATAAATAAAATCTGAATACGTATTTGTTCACAACGGTTATCGAGAATAGATAATTGTTTTCATTTGCTCTGTAGATTATGTCACGTGTAAATAATTTAATGTCGATTCGAGCAGAAATGTACTTGATTTTGACATAAAATTTTCTCAAAACGATAAATATTCTTATATTAATCTTATACAGCTACTTCGAAAGCTCTTTGCTAAAGACGTTAATGATGAAAATATTTAAGAAATTTCATTTTTCCTCTCCGTAAACAATATTTATGTAGAAAAATAGTATTTGTTTTTATCAATGAATGTATTCAAATTCAGTAAAATGTTCATAATAATAATAATAATAATAATGTAGTATATTTTAAGGGGTTGCAAGTGTTAATAGTGTCGATGTACTTGAAGGTAATTATAAATTTCGTGATTATAAAATAAATGCATAAGTAATTGTTGTAACCCTAGAGTAAAATATTTTGATTATTTTTAAGATTACAGTTAACACCCCATTGAATTATAACATACACGAATTAAATTAAAAAAGTATTTTATTTTATAACGAAATGTTATAAAATAAAAATATTAAAATGTTATTTTAAAACTAACAGTATGCAAGTGACTTATTTAAAACAAAAATGCAAACGTCAAAAAAAGGTTATTAAATTGATAAAATCGTTTTACCTTAAAGTGAACGGTTTGTGCATTGGTATGATTTTGACGAATACAAAATGTATTCAATAAGATACCGCAAAACATCGATCACTATGATTTATAACAAAAGCAGTCAGGACGTGGTGGCAAAAGAATGACTCTGAAACGTGACATGTGCCAAGTGGATATTTCAATTGTTTCCGTCAATATCTAGACGTATAATGTACACGTGTATTATTGTGTATACAAGTGCACATCATATTTATCCGCATAATGCCACACACGAATTTATGTATATTTTAACGTGTAAGCGGACCCCTCGGCTCATATAATATGTCATTGAAGATTGGGCACAGCCCGTGGACAGGGTTCTTATAGACGGGTCTGAGTGCCTGATTTCAATAATCGGAGTTCTTCGACAGAGATAATAAAACATATACTCCGGCATATTTAGCACAGTTATTTTACATAATAATTCATAAAAAATATATTCATATTGCTCGGCTGCTGTCCGTTAAAAACTATACCCCTTTAGGCCACTTCAGACTAACGGTTGCGATAGGTTAAGTTCGAATAAAAGACGAACATGTGGAGTTCGTGAACCATATAGTGCCTGCAACCGCGTTGATACAATTTTTATTGTTAAATTACAGAAAATTATAGAGCCATAAATAAACGACGGCCGTCAAATGCACAGAGAAAAATGAATGCTTAAATTCAATGTGAAATAATGATAACATAAATTTCGGGTTTTTAATGTGCTCACTGAATAAAAAAATACCGCTTCAACTTTCCGCATCTTGTGGTACCCACACATTAATATATAATGAGTTTATTTAGAAATTCTTGTTTAAATTGATAAAAAATGACAATAATTAAACGAAAATATTTAGGAAACATCACTAACGTGAGGGGGTATTTCTTGGAACCTAACAGTGATTACGATCGTTTGACACGATTGATTAATGTTGCGAGGCGATAAAAAATATTATGCTAATCAAATTAATACACAAGATTAAACCCAAGTTGTTGGTACGGCGACACTAGCATTAATAGGATTAATACGATCTGCTTTATTTTTTGTCGATTATCATAATTTATTGAAATAACCGTATAATAACATTTAGCGTGCGTTCGAATAATCCTTTTGTATGTTTGATATTCAAACCGTTGGCGTAATGTGCAATGAAGTGGCAAGAGACAAATACACCGCATGTCGGAGCCAATTGGAAACACCGTATAAAGATTGTCCTAGAATTTTAAAGAGATATTATCAATACACGAATACAACAGTGTATTTGTTTTTGTACAAGAAATCTAAACAGAAGTTATGGTAAAATGTATAAATCATAACTGTTACAATGACATCCATAGCAATTTCTTAAAAAATATTGTATTAGTATGTCAAGTTTTACAAGGTTCATAAATTCAATTGACTACACGCAAAATAAAACTAGTTTTAGAAATTATTAAACATGATTACTAGAAGAATCTGTTTAAATTTCTCACTAAGTTTTACTATATTTAAATATTTTAATTAATACAATATACAACTGATATTTGCCAAAACTCCAGTCATAATAAACGCATACAAACATAAAATAAGAATATTTTTTAACATATTATGAGTTACTGACTAAAAGTTATCTCTTCAGTTCAATGAAAAATCATTTTATGTTATAGATACGCCTCTCGAAGAGATTTATTTCAAATTCACAAACTACTATGATACAATTTTTTATAAAAAGCATCATTCATAAAAAATGAATCCGTTATTCATCGTTAAAAAAAAAAAAATTGAACCATAAAGGAAACGTATTATAATGTATTTTCATAAGGTGTTATAATTTCCATTGTTGAATGAGTTTCATGTCAGCGGCGGTGCCAGAAGGAAACATATCATTATAAAAATTGTTGTTATTATTGAACTATCAATCGTTGTATTGAAAAGCCAAATGTGCAAAACAAACCCAAATCTCCGGCGGCTACGGGGCCCTTTTATGAATATCTAGGGATATGCCCACATACATAGTATTATCCACAGGAGGTTTCGTTCTGATTTTTGAGTTCTGAGCATACTTAAGCTGGTGTAAAATCTCTGTATTAAATCTAATGAAAGGAAATGCAATGACGAAACGCACATACCTACCTGCTAAAATGGCCTTATACACACATCCACGTTAACTAATTCTAACTATATCAGCCTTATTTTATTGGTTATTCAAAAATATGATTGTGGCCATACTAAACACTTGCATGATAGTTACATCACATTATATGATATAACGCATTTTCGTTGAGACGCCCAATATCATAACGGTTTCAATAAAACCGAGTTAAATTTCATGGATATTTCGAATAGACTGACAAATTTTACACAAACACCATTATATAATATACAAAATTCTATTCATTACCTGTAAAGTTATGTTTTGAAAAGTATATTTACATTTTAAAGAAGGTTAAAGGCAGTTACAACAAATTTTACTACTCTTTTTTAATTTTTAAACATTTCAAGTTTATAATATAAACAACAAAATAACATACTAATTTATTCATTAACCTAATACAATGTATAATATTATACTTATCAGCACCAAAACAATTTAATGAATACAGTAAAGCAAATTAAAAATCACAGTACAAACCAATAAAATATATATTTACAAAAATTAGCAATCACGATAAAAATATATTTATAATAACAACATACCTTATAATATCCGAATAAAACTCAAAATTTTTAACGAAAAACGTATGACTAGGCACACATGGTAAAATTTACCCATACGGAATTACGTATTCGAATGGGTTAAGTGGATTAAAGCAAAAATTAAGATAATTGAAAAAAAAAATTTAATACTATTTTATGGAAAAAAATCCATTATCACATTAACCACTGATCCCTACTTTTGTTATTTTCTTTTTCTTTTTGTTAGGCACTTAAATTGGACACATCAGGTTGAATGATTATTATGAATAGAGAATACTTAGCCTATAACAATTATCTACATATTTTTTAATTCCTTAATATTAATAAATTAATTTTCGTTTCTTTTTTTATAATTTAAGTATAATTGGAAAGATGAAATCTATTTTTTAAACGTATTCGCCGTCTTCATCGTGGAAAGATATAGGACGGCCTTGCTGTTCCCGTACCAGCAATTGATGGGCAGCAGAATCCATTTCTTCTTTTGTCATGTTCAACGCTTCACGAAGTTCTTTAGAAGTATTTTGTACAAACTCAACGTCGCAATATTTTCCAAGACCATGTTCCACTAATATCTAAATATTAAAATAGAAATATACACCGTAATGCGCAATTTATGATTTTTACACAAACACATTATACCTATTAAAGTATAAACAATACTCACCCTTCCTACAAGACTCTCCGCAGACCCAATTACTCCAGTTCCATTTAACCCATCGTCATCTACAGGACTACCAGGCATCGAATGAGATAATCTAGTTAAAGGAATTGCGGCTTCGCTCATTTCGTCTCTAGTACCTAAATGATAAACATATATTCCAAGGTTTCTAATCTAAAACAAACTTGAAAAACTTAATGGAGTTAAAAAAAGGTAATTATATTGACCACAGGGAATGTACACTATGTGTATTTTTGGGTAAATATATGTGCACATCACTCGCGCTACATACCCATTCTATGTATTAAAATACTTGTAACTCAATAACTACATACGACGAACTAATCGTTAACTATTTATTATATAATTTGAAAATAAATTTGACATCCCTAAAAATTTTAAGGAATGATACGGCTAAAAAATAATGTTTTGCAATATTCAATTTATTTTGAGAGTAGTTGAGTGGGCTATAATAAATAATTACTCTGTATATTATTGAATTTTTCATTAACTACTATCGAAAAACTCCAAAATTCAAAACATGATTAAATTTCACGAAAAACATTTTTGACTACAGAAGTTTATATCGTTTAGACAGTCTACGTGGCTCATAGCTGAGTTTCTTTAATCTTTAAACACAAGCCTGTAATAAATTCTTATTTAACTAAAAATATTTTACCAACTCCAGATTTTCCAGTTTGTAATATTTCTTTAATATATTTAAATAGTTATAAATTGTGAGTACAAATTGTTATACAGCAAAAATAATTTAATGTGTATTCAGCCACATAGCATTTTAATAATACAAAGCAATAAGTACACGATAATTATTTAAAATAACAGTGGATAAAAGTGTAACTATAACGAAGAAAATTTTTTTATTTAAATTTAATATAGATATTGGTATTATGAAATTTATGAAATTTATCCCGCTTAAAATCTGAAATGTTAAAATATAATTTTGACCAATATTTAATTTTCAAAAAAAAAAAATTATTAGAATTACAAGTGAAATACTATATACAATGAATTGTTTATAATATAGTAAAAATTTACTGTATAATTGTAAGATCAATGTAACAATCAGCATTCACTAAAAGAAAGTATTTACCCTTAAATTTCTTTAGTATTGTTATACCTTTAAAATGAAACGAAGCGCGATGATATATGTGAACGGATCGTCGGTTATTGCGGTGTTCAATTAGCAATTTAGCAGCATTACTTTTTGGCGTTGATACACTTAGCTTGCTTATGTTGGACAAGTTATCATCGGCATGAGAGCTTCTGTTTAGTAGCCATTTGTTACGAGGATATCCTCTAATGATAGCATTGGCAAAACAAGTCACAAAAAAGCACAACAAAAATTCTAATTGTTAGCATTACGTGCATATAGTTATATAATATATACAATGTTGAAACTTAGTATATTTCAGGGAGAGCAACCCAATCTCAAACAATTTTGATGGTCTCTCTATTAATTTAATTATTTTTGATGTTAAGTGTATTTAGTTAATTATTAACTCAATAATTGAGTTAATAAATAAAGAGTCACTAACTCAGTGACTCTTCTTGGTCATCGACATCGATTTGAAGCAATTTTATTAAATTATAACCGAAAAACAACTTCTTTTTTGTTGTTAATGTTTTATAAGCCTCCCTGAAGATAATTTCTAAATTCAACACTGAATATAAACAGTAATATATTGTAACAGTATATATTGTAAATAATATACTAATAGACTATTGTGCACAAAACTATTATTGAGATATCGTAAATACATTTTAAATAAGACGCAAATATATTTTTAAATTTCATTTAAGAAGCAGAAATAGATTTAGCATTAAATAAAAAAAAATAATGCCTTATATTGATTAGAGCTGTTTTAATACTGTCGTTTAAGTAGGTAAATATCATCCTTCATAAGATAAAAAATTATAGATTTAAATTTTAAGAAAAATTGTAATATTTTATTGTACATAAATGGAACAAATGTTTATGGTATTATGGTTGAGTGTCAAAATACTCAATTTCAGATCATAAAAAACAAATGGGATGGTATTAATGTTTCTTGTCATACTTTGAATAAAACAAGATTTAGAGAGATTTTTTATTATCAAACGTGTTATTTTTTGTTAGTAAAAAAACCGCGTTTGACTTGTAGTTCTTACCATTATAATTACGCATTTGAACGGGTAAACGTCTGAAATATACACACATAAGTAGTAATCTTGCGTCAATTGTTTACAAAAAACATTATTTCTTTTTTCTAAAAGATAAAGTGCCCTTTGTTAAGAGTATCGACTTAAGACATCTTAAATGGAATTTGATATGAAAAATAAATGAAATTGATAAAATATTGTATACAATTGTTAAAAATAAATAAATAATATATATTTGTAAATATTTTAATCTTTATGTTTTACTTAAGCATATTGATTCAGTAAATTTATAATGTTATTTGAAATTAATTTGAAAGATTTAAATGAAACTGAAATATTTAGTTGTGCATTAAAAAGCATTTATAGTATAATATACTAGTATAATAAATGGTAAAAATATCGTTATACATATGTATAGATTCAATAATTTATTTAGTAAAAGCTGACCAAATTTTTTTTGGGAGGCATTTTTTAACTTGTTTTAAACTTTAATATAGACATAGTTTTTTTTAATAATGAATTTTAATAGGTCTTTTGTAAAAATTGATTTATAGTTGTTAAATAGGTAATAACAATTTTTAAATAAATCAGATTTACCTATGAAGCGAAACGGCTCCATTTTTTATTTTGGCATCCATTTGTTCTTTCGTAAAATTGTTGGGTAAGTAATCTATTTCCATTGAGCTTGTAGGAGACAACTAGAGAACAATTATAATAATTTGATTTACAACGTACTATATTAAATTAATAAACATCTTAAGCATTCTTTTTATATTTTTTTATAAAATATAATATTGATAAAAAATAAACCAAAAAAAAAAAAAAATGCTTAAGCCATCAAATTTATTATTTTATACAATGATAAATATACCTTGACAATATTTCGTCCAGAAACTTGTAAGTAATTTTTCTGAAAAAAAAATATTTAGATAAAATAACTATAATTATTATCTTCTACTATTCCTTTTGTTTTTTAATGAAACATTTTAACTAAATTTATTATTACGCCAAATAATCTAAGTATTATTTAATGACAACTACTTGTTTTTTCTTAAAACAGAAAATCGTAGACTTCAAAAAATCCGAAAAAGTATATTATAAAATCTCTAAAAAAATAATAATATTTTGTTTAAAGTAATAAAGATAATTATTTTCATTGCTTAAAATACGAAAATCCTATTGAATATAAGTGATAGTGTTTACGTAATTAGATTGGACGATACGTGAATTGTAATGTTACTATTATTATACATAGTATTAATTAAACAATTGGTTTTAATTAATAAAATAAAAAATATTGAATTTTTGGATGATTTGTCAATCAATTATATAAAAAATATATTACATTGTTCAATTCAGTTATAACACTTTGTATTAATTGTTAAACAGTTTAATAGTATCATTATTAGTTACTATAATTATACTTTATACTGAAACATTAAAAAAAATCAATTACTTTGTTAAATAAAGAAAAGTATTTTTCATAATTTTGTTCAATATTTAAGTATTATATTGAAGTGTATACTATTTATCTAGTTGAAAATTCAAATACGAGTCATGTTATTTTTTGAAAAAAAATTTTTTTCCAAATCCCATGCCAATATTTTTTAGGTATACATGAATGATGAAGTAATATATATTGATATATTATGCTTTGTATCATAATATTTGGGAATTGATATGATTTAGAGAAAATATAAATACAACATAAGTGTATAAAGTAACATACATTGATATTAAGGCGGAGACAATGTTTATGTTTGTACCAATATATTGAGTAATTATGGTATACTTTTTAATGTTTTATTATGTTATTGAATTACTTAAGGTATAAATTATTATAAAAGTTACGAAACGTTAAATTCGTTAAATTTATAATACAATTACATATATACTGAGTGGAACAGATCTAACGATACTTTCATAACTTTTGATATCATTATCATTTTACTGTAATTCTTTTTTATTAATTTTTTCTTTTTTAGAATACATTAAATACAACTTTTATTATTTGTCATTAATAATAAAATAAATTGTTTTTCTTTATTAATAATATTGTTACGAATGATGTTACTTTTACTTAAAATTTTTTTGTAATTGGGCTTGTCCCGTTTGAAACTTATATAAATAAATAAATAAATAAAAATAAATAAAAGTATTTTTTTTTTATTTTGGAATTTTTTTAAATTTTAAAATTAGCCATGATTTAGCAATTTTATTTAAAAATAAAATGCGCCGGTATACAAACTGTTTTGCAATAATATACCGGTGTACACTTAAAATTATACTCTGCCCGCGTTACATACATACTTTAAATGTTAAAATGCTTGTAATATTAAGTAATTGCTCTAAGATTGTTATTGACCCATTCACTTTTTCGATAAGAAAATTCCTAAAAAGTGGCTATTTTAAATCTTTATTAATTTTTTTATTAAAAACAAATAATAAAAAATATGTTTTTAACGTAGTCAAAAAATACAAAAAATTGTCGACAAAAAAATTGCAGTGAAATAATAATTGTATCAAAATTTATAAGAGTATTAGTTAGATCTGTTCTGCCCGGTAATTGTTTTTCATATGAAATTCATCATGAAATTTTTCTCGTGTCAATAGAAATATATCAAAATATTAACTTATTTTTAAACATAACACCAAAAATTTTTTATTTATTTCATAAATGTTAAGAAAATAATATACATAATTATTTTTAATTTAAAATTTATAAATAAAAATTTTTTAAATTATATTTATTATTACTATTAATTTTCTTATTTTAATATAATCTAAATTACTACATTCCAATATAAACCAACTATTTAACTAAAGACAGCTATAATAATTTATTAAAATTGATTTTATATTATAAAGCTGACTAACAAGTATATCATAAGAATATACTATGCAAACTAGCTATTTACAAGCTGAAATAGATTGAATAACTATACTTTATAAATTATTAATTAATAAATATGATCAGTAACTTTCAGACAATCAGTCTTATTTCAATTATGTAAAATTAATATTATTCTCAATAATTATTCATTCAACCAATTATATTTAAAGACCTAAAATAATCAAACATTGCAAAATTGATATTAAGTAAAACAAAAAAAAAGCTAATCCTGTAATTTTACTATATTATATGTTATAAGTTATGATGGCATTTATATTGTTACTAATGAAAATAGATTGTTGTATATGCGTATAATTAAGTCCTAATGACTCTGATAACTATTATTTTTAAATGAAAACATTTTCACGCATTTTAGTATTAATAGAGAAACTATTCGTATTAGTAAATATCATTATGACAGCTGTGGTTAGGTTTATACTGTCTTTATGCATGTATCTTACGTGTTTGTTTTTTTTGGAATGCGTATTGCTTATTCTAAATGACCGTCTTAAACTTCCTGTCCTACGTCTCATTGACGACCACACGCTGCCAAATAACGAGTGATTTCTCTTCAAATTTTAAATAAATTTGATTATTATTAACATCAGACCGATAAAATTGTGTGATTAACATTCAATGATTGGTTATCAACCAATAAGAGGAGAAGTAAAATAAATTTTTATGCATATTTTTAGTAACTGTTATAAAAATAAATAAATACCCTGTGCGACGGTTCGGGATTGTCATCAATTAACTCATCTAAATTACCGGATATAGCTCTTTTAATTTCTGGTCCAGCATCATGCAAAGTTCTTAATCCAGCCTAAAAAAATTAAATTATATTATATAAAATAATTAAAAATTTCTAGTATTTATTTGTTCAATCTATTTTTCAATATTATAAATTAATTTTTATACCTGTAAAGTAACAGTATTTCGGGCTTCTTTGTCGCCCTCTTTCAGTTCTTGTTCTTTGCGTTTTTTAAATCGCCGGAAATAATCTTGGATTAAAAACGTGGCGTAGAATTTGCCCACAGTTACTTCATCATCGACTGATAATATTATGACAACAAAAATATTAGTTACGTGTTAATAAAAAACTATTTCTTAAAATAGATTATCTCACCTCCGGGCGGTGGAACAACTTGATCGAGAAGTTTTGGACTTGTTCGTTTCCAAATTTTCTTGATAACTGCTCTAAGCTCTGCATTAGCATCATCAATATTTCCTTCAGATTTGATATGTAAAGATGTTCGGACCACCGCAAATAACGTGGCATTGAAAAGTACAGTTCCATCACTATTTAAAGGCATATTCATCGAAACTAATCTCTAAGAATCACAAAAAAATGGTAAATATTTTAAAATTAGGTACAAGCACTTTTATGTAACAAAAGAGTTTTACATACCTTACAAGCAACACGGTGTGGACATAGTTTTCCAAAACCCAACGGCGGTGATATCTTTCTCAACAATGTTACTACGTCCAAATGCTTTATTCTACCTTTGGCATCCGGGTCATACTCACTCCAAAGTCTAATAAACTCATCTAAGTGATGAGGTCCAAGAATAGACCAGTCTCTTGTTAGGTAGTCAAAGTTATCCATTATTACAGCAACAAATAAATTGATGATGAGAAATGAGCAAAGTACATAGAATGATATAAAATAAGGGAACGCAAAATCTGAACCACAACTAGGAACTTGATTATACATATCAGATTTCTCATCGCACTTAACTTCATCTGGTCTATACGAGCATGACATCATAATGTCTTGCCACGCTTCACCTATTCGTGACAAATAATCAGGTAAAAATATGAATTAAAGACTGAGAATTTATTAATAAAAGAAATATTTATTTTTATTATGAAAACGCTAATAATTATTTTTAGGTCATGTTAAATTATTAATTAAACAGTTAGTATTTTAGTGTGAGTAAAAAATATTATAATAAACTTTGAAATATTTGAAGATCGAACTCGAGAAGGTTTTTATAAGAACTATTACCTAAACAAAAATGCTCATTCACCCAAAATATTAGCTATAAAATTTACATTATTTCTTATATTGTAAAGCATACCCGTAGCTGAACGGAATAAAACGAGAACTGCTTGTGGGAATGTTTGAAAATGATTGTTTCTTGTAATAGCTGAATCATTTTCTCCACTTTTTGATATTTTACCAAACACCTAAAATATACAATTAAATATTATTATAAAAAATAAATAATTTTATTTATTATACAATTAATAATAATAATTATACTATATTGTAATAATTAATACTGATTAAAAAAAAATAGTATATTATAGTTATAATAAAAGAATCACGTTATTTAATCATATAGCCCTTATTAAATATCTTACAGGTATATGTGTGTGTGTTAAATACACACAGGGTAAGGGATGGTAGTAAGAGAATCATAGATAAATAATAAACACTTTTCTAGTTTGACATACAGTTTGTGGAAGGAGGTTTTATCTCCAATAACCAATATTTTATATTTAATCAAATTAAAAAAAAAGTAAAGTTGGTATCCAATAAAATGACGCATTTTTTCAATTTCTGTAAATAGAAATTTAACCTTTATTAGTAATTAATTTTTTAAAAATACATGCCATCAGCAAGGCAAATATTTTAGTCTGCAAAAATTGATTTAAGAGTTTGAAATGTTATAATTAACTTCAGCACGTTATATTAAAATATAATTAAACATGATTAAATTTATTTGCAAAAAAGAAACTTATTTAACTATTTAAAAATTGTACTTCAGACCGGTTAAATATAAATTTTAGACCATTACACATTGAACATAATAAGATACGCGGGTAAATCATAATGGCCCATTCTTTTAAATTATATTATTGTAACTAGACATAATTAGTACTATAAATCTTTTAGGACTTTGAAACTCAGACGCCCCAAAGTATTACTTTTTCAACTTTTCCATTAATTGTGTCTCCATTTTAATACACATATTACACATATATATATATATTACAACTTGTAAAACATTTTCGAATAGATCAAAAATCCGAAAAATTCATTATAGGATTTTAAAAAATAAAATTTATAAATGATTGTGAAACTATTTTACAAAAATATAATAATTAAAATATTTAATTAATACTTTTATAGTTAAATAATTTTTAGAAAAGTTATTCAATTTCAAATGACATTTTTTCCAGGTAACCTTTTATAAACCTTTTTTAATAATATTATGAAACCCTACTTTAATTATGTTTGCTTCATTCATATAAAATAAATTTTAATATTTGAATGATAATAAATATTAAAATAATTATATTTTATATATATACCATTTTAGATTAGATTTACTATGAATCCTTACTTGCATTCCGATGACAGCGTAAATGAAGAAGAGCATGACAATTAAAAGAGCTACGTATGGAAGAGCTTGAAAAGACTTAATAAAAGTCCATAACAAAGTACGGATACCATCACCACGACTGAGCAACTTTACTAAACGCATAACACGAAATAATCTGAAGAAATTAATTGATAATTTCCTTCCCTTTTTCTTAGGTACACTGTCAGTATTTGGCTAAAAATATAATATTTCATTAAAACATAAGGTGTTTAAAATTTAGTTATTTATGGGGTTAAGACTTTATAGAAGTGTTAATGTAAATTTGATTGCATCACTTTCAATTTCAATTTTTGAAACTGCTTTCTTTAGACTTATCTAAAACTAAAGCTTTTGTAACGTAATTAATGGTCAAAAAAAAAATTTCCTAACACCTTCTTTCTAAGAGAAATTGACCGTCAAAGTAAAAAATAAACGCAATTTTTGCAAAAAAAAAAATTATATATTGATTATTAAAAGCCAAAATTTCCATAAGTTATTAATATAGTGTATCACTTTCATTGTAGTATTTATAACGCTAAATTTTAAGTAGCTAGAGTAATTAATTTGATAATAATAGACAATAATGCACTATATTCCACAAAAAAATTACACATTTACATCGATGCATTTTATTATTATAGTAATGTTAATCACTGTTAGACATCATCTATACTTTACTACGTCCTCACTATGCTTGGGTTTTTATTTATTTCAGTATATATTATAGAATTTTAGCAATGGTAAATATATTATTTTAGGTACTATGGAGATCATCTAAAGACAAATCTTGAATTTTACACCACTCACTGATAGATTTTCAACTACAATATCAATAAAACTTCCCAATACAATAATAAAATCAAGTACATTCCACGCATCACCAAAGTAATTCTGAAAGAAATATTTATTTATTAAAACTCGTTATCTAATATAATTTTATAAAATAGTTTACTTTAAAACGAAAAGCCGCCAGTTTAAAAACAAATTCTAAAGCAAACACCGCTGTAAAGAACAAATTTAGCCAGTTCAGTATATCATCATAATAAGCAGGCTGATTGACAAATTTCATAGCCAACGTAATTGTGTTGACCATTATCAACATGAATATAGTGTACTCGAAAGGTCGTGACGTGACAAACCACCATACTTTATACTGACACCGATGTTTAGGAATGTAACGTCGAACAGGTTTAGCTTTAAGCGCAAACGCAATACAATTTCTCTAAAATATATAAAAAATATATTTTATTTCATTGAATAATTTTATATAACTATTAAAATAATATTTCTTTAAACGATTAACATATTTTTATGTATTGAAATATACGACTACAAAACTTACTTGGTTCTTATCAAGTTCACAATTTTTGTATTCTTGTTCACCCTCATTTTGAAAAGTAACTATGACGAAACCCACAAAAATATTGACCATGAAAAATGCAATAATAATTATATATATGATGTAATAAGCCGCTACAATAGGTCTATAATTATGTATTGGTCCACGGTCTTCTTCATTTGAATCCATTGATGTCTGTAGAAGTCTGTAAAAAGTATGATATTTTATTTAGTTTATTTACATTCCAGTTTGGTATGAAAAGATCATTAAAATTTATAGCTTTAAATCATACGATGGCCATCCTTCGAATGTTGATACGGTAAAGAGAGTAAGCATAGCTTTGGCAACATCATCGAAATGGAATGAATTTGCTTCCCATTTTCTATCTTCAGCTTTAGGATGCTCTACATCACCTTGTTCAAATGTCAAGTAAATACCTCTGTGTAGTTATAATAGTTAAATTAGAAAGAAAGTTTTGATTGTAGTAATTCTTCTTAGTTTAAATAAATTAAGTAATTGCAATAGAATGCTAAAATAACTGAAAAATTAACAAAAAGCAATTCTATAGGCAATTTAAAGGATACATATAATTTGAGATATACTTTATTTTAAACGATCTATTAGACTTTAATAAGTAGTGTAACAATAGCATGTGACTTTCACTATAAGCAAATACATCAAAGAAAAAAAAATAACTTATTCAACAGTAGAGAAGCTAATGTTTAAAACTTATTAAATTCACAAAAATGTAAAATATTACGAAATATACCTTTATTGCCTATATTTGAAGTTAAATAATGAGATAAAAGACATGCAATATATATATATATTTACTCAAAAGAAAAAACATCTTAAAAATTCTGTGTAAATACATGTATAATATTATAGAGGGTGTTCAGTAAGTCAGGAAACGGGTTNAATATACAGGGTGTTCAGTAAGTCAGGAAACGGGTTTCTATTGTTCTCATTGTTTGTAACAATGAGAACAATAGAAACCCGTTTCCTGACTTACTGAACACCCTGTATATATTCTTGTAATTCCTGAAATTTACATTAAATCTTATCATTATATCTTTTATCAACTATAGAATTTAATTTACTTTTGATATTATATAATATTAATTTTGAAGAGTAAGGCAGTTTTTTATAACAGTTTGGATATTACCAGCTTTGAAATTAAAAAAAAATTGGACATCAATATATTATCAAAAACTTAAAATAATTTCACAACAATCTTATAATCTTAATAATTAAAATATATTAATATTTTCTTATATAATATTTTGGAACAGTAAGCATTTTAACATTCTACTGCACCATTATTTAAAGATAAAATACTAACTGGCATTCGGCCTCTGTCATTTTGGAAATGTCATTGCATTTAAAAAATTTTCCCTAAAAAATTGTCAATTTACTATTAGTATTATAATAAAATTAAGTATTTACATTTTATTGTTTTGAGCATTAATAAAAAGGAAATTGTAGAACTATTTTTTATTTATAAAATGAAAACTATCACTGTCAAAACTTTCACCAAACTTATAGGTTGTTCCAAAATACTGAGAGTAGTGCTTGAATTTCAGAGTTTGAATGATTATTTAAACTTTTAAATAAAGTAGTTTTAGCATTTTTGTGGTATTTATGATCATCTTTTGAGGTAAAATTATTTTAAACTATCATCACTCATTTATGGAAATTTAAGAAATTCTATCCTATCACATTATAGGTATTTTTGACCAAGTTTTTCTATTCAATACACTAAATTGCTATGATGATTTGAACTTTATGCTGTTCTCATAAAAAAGAAATAGACTCATATTATTGAAATCTGTCATTATTAATGAACTTATTAATAAATGATATATTAAAGAATAGTTAACTTATTTAATACAAAGGTCGTCCCTATGTCGTCCCTCATTATCGGCTTCATCTTTTTGCAATGTTGATTTTCAAAGATTTACTCTAACTGTAATTATAAACTTTAGTACTAATGAATCTGAATTAATAAACTTGCTCCAGTTACAAGTTAACAGAGTATATATTTCTAACAAATCAATACTAGAAATAATTTTTCTACTACCATTATTACTATAATAACGTGTCCAATTATCCGTTAAGAAACTGCATTTTTAAAATAAAATTTAGACCAACATTTTTTTTATAGAATTATACTAGAAGATAGGCACTAACCTCAGTTATTATGAAACATATACGTATTAGTGGTTTACACAAACTTATTCATGCAAGTATAAAAAGAAAACAAAAAATACATAAAAATATGTTTATTTCATGCAAATTCTTAAAGTACCTAATCTATATTAAATCACATGCTATCAACCTTTATTATACGGAAAATTCAATTTGTTGAGTTCAAATTGTTTATAACCTAAAGATCATTTTTGAACTTTATTAAACCATAAGGTTAAGATACAATATTATATTTAATTTTATTACGACTTTAAATATAAAGTAAATAATATATTTATAAAAATAAAACTTGCCCTAATAAAAGGGAAAGTGTGATATTTATTTTTTTTACTTTAATAAGCACTGGAAAGTTGAATTTTAGTTTATTTGATTTTTTATTATAGATACAGGTACTCTAAGAGTTTTTATGAATGATAATTATTTAACGAAGGAATAGTTCACAAATTATTTTATTACCATTAAAGATAAAAAAAAGCCTACACGCTTACCCCACCTTACTTTAATTTAAATTTAATATTTTTTTTTTTAAATAGTATTAGTAGTTTTCTTTACGTTTTTTAAACTGAAAAATGATTTCATGACTTAATCATTACATTGATCCAAATAATTTGTAATCAATAATTAATGCTCTCTAAGCTTGTTCTACACGATATTAAAATTACGGTCTTTAAAATTTAAAAATGTTTTTTAACTATATTAACGAAAAAAACCCTATCCCTATTTGTAGAAAATATACAGTATATGGGATATATTAAGAGAGTCACGAAAATATGAAATAATATAACATAACCCGAATAATTTTTAAAATTTTAATTTTTGAAAAAATTTAATAAAATTTCAAGATAGCCATTATCAGAAAAAAATTGATTAAATATATCTTATTAATATCCAGTAGCAAGTAATCTACAGGATTTTATAGTTTATGAAAATTTGAATTTTTCATGTGCTTTTTGATGATACTCTTCTTCATTTTCCTCACCTATATACCTATTACTTGGAGTCGGCCACCCTTATCATAAACTTGCACTTGACACGATCTCCCACATCAGCTGTAATCATATCGCATTCAATAGCATCCCTCCATCTTTTTTTTGGTCTTCCGCTATCTCTTCTTCCTTCAACATTCATTTCTATAACTGTTCTTACAGCTTCCAATTCTTCTCTCCTCATAACATGACCAAATCATCGAAGTCTATTTTCTCTCATCTTATCCACGATTGACGCTACACCTATACTCCCTCCTATTTTTTCGTTTCTTATCATATTTTCTCTAGTCGCTCCATTCATCCATCTAAGCATCTCTGCTACACTCATTCTCCGCTCTATTCTCTTGTCAAACCTCTTGTATACTATAAACCATATATCATAGCTGGCCTTACTACAGCCTTACAGAACTTATCTGGAGCTGATCTCTACACCTCTAGTCTTTGATTAATTTTTTTCCTATTTTCTAACACACCAGATGCTTCTTTCCACTTTACCATCCACACTTAATCCTATGTATTACTTCCTCATCAGTACCATCTTTTTTTAACGTGTTATTTTATAAAATCAAACATTATAATATTCAATTGAAAAAAGGTCTAAAGAAAACAAAATCTTTTCACGCAAATTATTAGTTATAATTATTAAACCTTTTTATATAAAAATTATGTACGCTTAAATGAACACCTGTAATTCAACATAAAAATTCAAGCAGTATAACTACTTATTTTGTTAAGAATAAAAATTGTGCATTATAATAAAGGTATGTTTTTTTTATTAAACTCGAAAACTTATATTTATTATTATTAAAATAAAGTAATGCAAAATTTGAAATTTTTTCTACTATTACTAATGTCAAGTACAAAGTATTAAAACTACAGTTTAATTAATTTCATAAAATATCTTATTTATGTTTTTTTATGCATTCTATCGTAGATAATAACAAATGTTTTGTATAGTTTGCAAATCTTTCTTTCTTTAATTTTTTTTTTTTTTGAAACAAAAAATGGTATAATGTTGATTAATACTAAATTTTTTTTAGTATTAAAACATACAAATCGATCAAAGTAAATACTAAAAATCAATTTATAATATATTCTTACCAACATTTATAAATGATTTCTGACGTTTGAAGGTAAATATCAATCAAGCATTACTTTTGTTTCAATAATTTATAGAAAATAAGGCAATAGTTTATAACAATTTTTAATATTATGGATCTTTTAACCATTTTAATATTAATAAATTTATATAATTAATATAATATATTAATAAATATATTTGCTTTTAATAATATTTTAAGGTATAAGTTCATTGGTATTGTTTGAATGGAGAAAATGATTAGAATGTTTGAATGTTAAAAAATATCAGTTTCTCTACAACTTTTTTTTATATATTTATATACATTACACAAAACTAACCAAATAAGTATAATTATATTTGGAAAATTATATTAATTAATTGATAGATTTAAAGAGAATAATGATTGTTTAAGAAATTTAACAACTTTTTTACATAAATTATTTTAGTGGAAAATGTAAAAAGAATGAACATGTTACAGCTTTCTTCTTAATAAATTTACCTTATTAAAAAATACTTATAAGTAATACACTTCATTAAATTCAGTTTATGAAATTTAATAAAATAAATAAGAACAGAGTATATAAATAGAAAAACAATATTACAATTATATGTAATCAAATACGATTTAATGATTAAAAAAAACAACGTTAATTTTATAAATAATCGATGTAATGATCATGTGGAATAATGTGAATCAAACAATTATTCCCAACAATTAATTGATGCGATTCATGAAAATTCCCCCTTCTACAGAAAATGAATAACAAAACTTAATCGCCTGATTGGTCCAGTCAATTCATCTTCGTTCGTTATTTTGAATCATAAGAAACAAATACCAAACAGATCCACCATTATCTAACTATTACATTTTTAAGTTTAACTATAGGCGCTCTTCCAACCGTAGATAATTTGAATGGAAAAAGATACATATATAATATTTAGCTAAAAAGTATTTCCATTTCTTTTCATATTTCAATGTTTTATATCGTAAAAATTAAAAAATTAAATTTTTCACACACTTCAAAACACTACAAATAATTTACTACTATTCAATAGTATCATATAGTTCAATAATAAGATATTTTTTCTTTAAATCAACTCTACAAAATGATTATCTTGAAACTTTCTTTACGATTTTCGTAAATTAAAAAAAAACTATGTTTTATTATAAAATGTTTATAATGCGAAATTATAAAAATAATTTAAAAAAAAATTTAATACCAAAATATTGACTAGATCAAAACATTCTAGACCACTGTGTACATAATATATATACTCATGTACATACACTGTTATATATTATATAGTATATGATATTTTTATATTTTAAATAACTTTTTTTTTTTGAAGTTGAAAACAATTTTCAACACAGACAAAATTTATTGATTACTTTAAATGAAAATTTGTGTTTGTTTGACAACTATCGATTTAAAATTTAAAATTTTATAGATATTATATTAGATAAACAAATAATTAGAGTATGTTTATACAATAAATAAAAATTATATACTTATTTTTTTGTAATAATACAAAAAAAAAAAAATCAGACTAACTACGCATAATTACCTAAAATATACTTAATGTATATTTTTTTTATACAGCCATATCCAAAATAAATATAACTTATTAAAAATAATGTTGTAATTGTTTAACTTATTTGTTTTCTTTAAAGAGAATAATTTATTATAAGATATTATAAATGATGCCTTCGGGGTAATAAAGCGTAGGCGAGCAATCGATTCATCTAAACAAAATAATTAAGTAGGTCCAACGAAAAACAACTTAAAGATTTCAACTCCTTAACTCTTAACCATTTTAATAACATTATTGTCATAAAAACAATAACAAAACATTACTGCTATGAATTGTTTTTCGGTTTTTTCACTTTTTAAGTCACATTAAACGTTAAACAAACCTAATCATAATCTTAAAATGTTGATCAATCGTAGATAATTTTTTGTATACAAAATAAAATAAATTATAGACTAAGTTCTTAAAATACAATGGCCTAATTATAATACACATTCCCATGGAAGTTAGATAAAAAAAACATAATATGCCAATTTAGGAATAAATAAAAAAATGAGCAAAAATATTAGCTAAGAACGCATTTCAACTAAAATAGGTGATATGATTTTGTAAAAAAATGACATAAAATAAATCTACTGAATTCATATAAATAGTAAAAATTAAAAAAAAGTGTACAAATAATCTTATTTATTTTTCGATTTAAAGGTGACAAATAAATACTTGGAAAAACTATCTACGTGTTTCTTTGTACAAGTAGTAGATTTACCTTAAAAAGTTGTACTCCTATGACGGCAAACATGAATTGTAGTAAATATGTGACCAGCATGATATTTCCGATGGTTTTAATTGCAACTATCACGCATTTCACTACATACTATAAACAAATATGAAACTATCAAATAAAATTAATTTAAGGCCAATTTGTTCTGTTTTAAACGTAGGAAATTACGCATTGACATAAATACTCGAAAATTTTATTGTACACCAAAATTATAATTTGTAATATCAATGTTTTTTTTATATAACCTAAAATTAAGTACTTATTTAATCAACACCAGGGTTGTTACGTTTAAAACATCAAAAATGTCAAAATTTACATTAGTCTTATGTGACGTTTTAAATTATTTATTTATGTTTTATACAGATTTAAAAAAAAACATGTTTTTAACAACCCTGATCGACAACTAAAAGAACACATAAAATACACAAAATAGATAAAAACTTTCTAAAAAAAAATTAATATTTTAATGTTGATAAATATATTTATAGATTGTTACATTACTGTAAATATTTTTTTAGTTTCAGTGCTCATTATAATATAAAATAAATTAAGAGGTGTGTACAATTAACTACTCTAAATCGTTTAGAATCTCAATATTAATTTATGTAACAGGGTAATAGTATTAGGAGACTATTAAGTACTAGATACTAGGTACTCAATGTATTTTGAAGTTAAAAATATAACTCGAACAAAATAGTCGATATAACTAAAACAAAAGTGACAATTATCTTTATAAAATATAATCTTTATAATTATACTAGTTCTACTACTTATGTTTATTTGTGCACTAATAATTTTTCAAATACATTTAATCATAACGTGAGTATTTTTAATATCGTGTAGATAACACTTAAGTCTAAATTAAATAAACTCATGTGTAAATTAATTTATAATTTCTATTAACTCAAGTTAAAACGATATTCTTTAAAAACATCAAACGATTTTTAAACATAAATCAATAAAAAATTTAAGCATTCATAGGATTAAATAATATTTGAATCAAACGGTCAGTATTAGTAAAATACAAAAATTTGTGTTAATTAAATCAACATATATTACGTCAAAAAATAGAACTTTGTATTTTTTGTTATAGTGTTAGATATTATAAACACACCAACGTTTCTATTATTAATTAATATTATTATTAATTGAAATTAACATAAATACGATCATATATCAAATTTTGTATGAAATTTTAATATTAGATTTAGAAAGATATTGCTTCATTAGCCGTACCTTAAACAACTGAACTCCAATTACGGCAAACATGAATTGAAGGAGGCACGTAACCAGAACTATGTTTCCAATCGTTTTAACCGCAACGATGACACATTGAACTACATGCTAAACATTTTATAGCCAATTTTTTTTAAGGAAATAAAACTTATACAATTAATAATATTAAAAATAAAAATAGTTGTGGTGATGAACTACTATCAGGCCCAGATTATCCTATTTGTAGCCCCAGGGTTAGATTTTTTAATAGATCACAAGAAGTGGCGCATAATTTTTCACAGACTTTTTTTGTTTGTACATAAAAAACTTTCTCTGTATAACCATAATTACCAAAATATTGATGAACAAAAAATTCATAAAAAGCTATGCACTAAAAAAATATTATTTATAACAACACAAATAAAACATTAATCAAAATTAATTTAAAATAGTTATCTGTCGACAGTAAACACGATCTACGCACACATCAGCCGTCCTCATATCGCATTCAAAAACATCCCTCATTATTATTTACTATTCATCAAACCTTACATTGTGACAATCTTTAAACTGTTTTCTTCTTGCTTTTCAAAGTCTATAGAATTCATTTTCAAATTCCTTTGTTACTAACCTATCATACAAATCATCATATATCTTAAACTTCGTCTAACTTACCGCACACTTAGCATTTTACATAAACGTTTATACTCTATTCAATCTTTTCTCCTTTTGCTTTATTGACATATTTTTTTAACTTCTTTTTATTACTCTCTACGATTTTCTCAACGTCCTCATTACACCACCCGGTTACTTTGTTTCCTGACATTCTAATCCTACTCTCACCAATAATCTCCTTTGCAGTATTCTTTACACAACTAACAAATCTATTTCACACTTCATTTATGTCTCCATTGTCATTCCACGCCGTCTTTAAAAACTCTTCTTCTTTTTTCCCATTCAATTTCTACCACCGGATCCTCCATTTTCTCCTGTGTTTTTCCTATTTCTGTATACTCTCTTACCACTACATCATGATTTCATTACCATCAGCCTATGCTGTGTAGTTACACTCTCGCCTGGTATAAATTTACAATCCTTTACTCGCTTTACATTCTCTCTCATCCACATAAAATAATCAATTTGTGATCTATTACTCCCACCCTTATAAGTTATTTCGTATTCATCCCTTCTTCTTCTTTTTCCTCGCATTAATCCAAACTATTTGGGGTCCGCCACCTTATCCTAAACTTTCACTTGACACGATCTCCCGCATCAGTTGTCCTCATATTGCATTCAATAACATCCTTAAATTAATGTCAATCTCTCTTTCTAAAATAAATATTAACCACAGCAAGATCATACGACACTATGAAATACAGGATTCTTTCTCTAGCCTCATTCTTCACACTAAAACCATACCCTCCATAAACTCTTTCATATCATCTCCTCTCTTATCTACATGTCCATTCATATCTTCATCGATCACTGCATCTTTATTACCATGTATTCTTTGCATCATTTCATCCATCTCTCTTTAAAGCACTTCTTTATCTGTTTCATCACATCCTACTTTTGCATAGGCATTTATTACATTCAACACTTCTTCCTCAAAAATTAAATTTACGATTATAATCCTGACACTATTCCTAACTATTTCTATTACTTTACTTTTAACCTCCTCATCCATTATTGTCCCTACAACATTATTTGTATTGATCTTGTTATCCGGCGGGTATCAAACACTTTATTCTTTAAATCTTTTAGTCTCTGACTACTTTATTCCCTCTCACCTGTTGTCACCACGTACTTCTGAGATAGGACAATCCGCCCAAGTTCTGTTCATTATTCCTAATGCTTTCTGACAAAATTTTATACCAGCTGTCAACCTAATGCATCCTCATTAGTGGTCTCTCACAACTAGCAAAAGAGACATGGAAGTATTCTTATCCCTTATCTATATGAATAACAATAGTATAAATATAAACATATTTTAACATAAATTACACATTTTTATAAAATGTTATATCCTTATAAAAAAATTTAATATTTTTCATTAGTTATAGTTTAAGTAGTAGTGTTTTCGCAATAACCTTTTTATTTTTTATGCAAAATTGACAAGATATGATGTGCTTTTTTTTATGTCTGCCCACAAAAATTCTCAGCTATCCTATACTAATTTTAATGAATAATACACCAAAATAATACGATTTTAATCTAATTTAACTAATCATCGGTAAAAATTTGAAAAAACAAACTCATCTTTAGACATTAATAAAAATACCTCAATGTTATGCTACCATAAATATGTTATTTTTCAACTTTTTTATCTGCATTTTAAAACTGCTAAAACTTTTTTTTTAAATTATGATTCTAATAAAATTTTGAAGTATTTTGGAGATAATAAGCTTTTCCACTCATGAAAAAAAAAATGTTAACTCAATATTTGAAACTGTTCCGGAATTTTTAAACTATATTAAATTTAATTTTTCGAAGTGTACTAGAGTAAAAAAAAATTAATCTTACTATTATTCTACTTTGTAAAATTGGCTGTCATTGTAAAAATTCGCAAGTTTAAAAAAAAAAAACATATTTTAAAGAAGCAAATAATTTAACAAAAATAGTATTTTAGAGTATATTTTAATAAAAACGTTAAAAGTGTAAAATTGCAAATTTACAAATTATTATAAAATATAAGAAATTTGCATCGAAACATATTTAATATAGCAATGTTAATCACTAATAGATATCATTTAATTTTACTTCAACGACGCCGTAATCCCATTGTGCTCGGTTTTTTTTTATTTTGAAGAATACACTGATTTGTAAGCATATACCCTTCAATATAAATTTCACATAAATATTATTTTTTTGTAGGGTATACATTAATTAAAAAAAAATTTAATAGTATAGTTACTTAGTTACGTTTTTAGTAGATCGTATATTATTTTTGAACACGCAATAAAAATTTCCCAATTAAAATTCAAAATCTTAAGACATGGGGGCCATGGTTCCACTTAATCTGGACCTGACTTCTATAAAAAATTATTAACTGAAATGTTTAGCACGACAGTGGAGACCATCAGAGTAGTTTCGTTTAATATTTCAGTCTTTCATACATATAATCGAAATAACTTAATAATTTTTAATTAGTTTTCTTATATTACACTTGAATTTAAACTCATTGCAAGTCTGCAACTTAATACTTTTCGATAAGAACTCTAAATATAATAGATTTGTAATACAGCTTAAGCAGACATTTATCGTCAGAATGTTCATTTTGTTAGTAAGAATAATGGTCAAAATAAAGAAAAAAGAAGGAAGGTTATTCATTTTTTAGAAATGATTTAATTTTCAAAAGGGGTAGTTAAAAGCTTTGAATCTTTATATTTTTAGATTAAATATTATATTTTTAATTAAATTAGTTTACATGTATTGTTTTTTAAAAGGAGTGATATTTTAAAATAAAAATTAGAATTATGACATTATTCTCATATATCATTCAAAGGTAAGCATAAATATTTTAAGTATTAGTGTAAATAATTTCTAGTTGTATTATCTAAAATACTATAGTTCAAACCAAAACTAAATGAAAATTAAGAACCTTCATAATGAGCACCGTAAGAAATTAATANTTGTTTACTATACAAGGTAATAATATTTCATTATTATATTAACAACAATGATAATACTATAAATTACAAACTAAGATAACTGTTATGAAAATGCCATACTTAGTTATTGTTAGTTTTAGATGACTTAGTTGGTTCTTGTCTGTTTTAGATGACTTAGTTCGTTTTTTCCCGGAACAAATGGGGTTTTGTTCGCAATTTTATCATTTACAGTGCCTCAACAAATTATAAGCAAAAAATATGTTTTGCCCTGTTTTGGCGTATTTTTGATCGACATTTAAGTCACTGCAGTACTTAATTTCAGTTGATTGTTTAATTGTAATTGCGTTTTAAAAATAAAAGTTGCATTAACTCTGTTTAAAAAAAAAGTGACTTAGTCGGTTTTTTCCCTGTACCCTTCATATACATACTTAGTTCAGCTAATTTTTCATTATTAATCTATTTTAAAATTTAAAAAAAGATCAACATTTTATTTTCCTTAATTAATACTATAAACAATTATAATATTATTTTCGGTTTGTCAATTTACTTATAGATTCAGCATTCTATATAGAAAGAATACCAAAGAAATGTTTTAAATATCTCAATAATTTTAACTAATGAAATTTTACAGAAGTAGACTTATTTTTGTGTGAAGAAATAGGTTACTATAGAATCTTACTTTACATTACCTGTTATTATATTATCTAAATATTAGAAAATAGTATGGTGTGTATCTCTGGGGTTATACAGTGCGTATGTTCAAATGTATTAATTTGGTTTTTGATATTTTAGCTAATCAGTTTATTGTATAGTACTCACTTTTAAACCTTTGGCTCGATTTATTGCACGTAAAGGTCTTAATACTCTCAAGACTCGCAGAATTTTTACCAACGACATAGTTCCAGCACTGAAATTAAAAATAAAGCATAACAAAATATGATAATAATTTTAATAAATTTTTACAATTAATATGTATAAAACTGACTTAGCATTTCTTGAAAACACTGAAACCAATGACACAGCAACAACTAAAAGATCTAAAAGATTAAAAAAAGAACGGCAAAATGCGCCATCATGCAAAGCAAAACCATAAGAAATCATCTTGAAAAATATTTCCACAGTAAAAACAGCCGTAAAAAAATAATCAAATCCTTTCAGTACCTAAACATAAAGTATAGTTATTAAACATAAAACAATTTAAATTTTGTAAATTATTCCTTACATTATTTCTATCAGACTCGCCATTTAGTGGATCTTCAGCGGCTAGTAACGCAGAGGAGACCATTATACAAACCAGTATGAAATTGCTGAAATACGCGTGGTTATGAAACCAATGGCAGAAAACACGAAAACTATAAAATAAGAACATTTATGATACACATTTTATGAAATAATTCAATTTAAAAAGTTACTGACCGATTAGTATTGGAAAAGACAAAAAAAGATGATTCTGGAGGAATAGGTAATGTTTTGTTAACGTCGTTAAAGTCAGAAGTTCGGCGTAAACGTATTTCACCATTATCTTCATACTCTAATAAAATAAAAAAGTCATTTTACTAATATTAAATTCATCTTATAAATTTATTACAAAGGAAATATTGTTTTATTCAAAAGATATAATTTTCGAACAAATATCAAATATAATATTGGTATTATTATTGTGATATTGAATATTTCTAGGAGTGTATTTTGATGTTAGTTATCACAACAAATTAGGTCAATATAGATATAAATATTTATATGCATCTATATTTTATTTTTTATTATAATTAAAATAAAAAGTTTAAAATAGTTAAGTACAGTAGGTCATCCAGTGTATTTAAAACAAATAACAAAAAATTTAACTTACCTATCAAAAATACATGGTCTTTAATTTAAGAGGTTGATTATTCACAAGGTTAACTAACTTCTATTTTTTTTCAATCATACACTACTTTAAACAAGCTTTAATTTTAAATAATTTAGAATGATGTAAGCATTTCATAACTATGCAAAATATTACATATATTTTAGTACAACTTGTGTGATTTTTGGCTTTAATGGCCAATTATTCCTAAGAACTGAGATTTCGAGATTTACTATTTTAATCTTAAATTACATTGTATTACTCTCAATTTATGTAGGTTTAAAGAAGGTAGGTTTTTTAAGACATCATAAAAATTTAAAAGGAAAAATGTTGATGATAATTATGCCCTTGCAGAACCTTGGTAAATGATTAAATTTAAAAAAAAGAATATCGTTGGCAAGAAGAATTTTTAAAGTATTTGCAACAATTTGTACTGTTTTGAAAAAGTTATTTCAATTTAAAAATAAAAACTAAAAATATCAATATTGATTATTTTATGAAAATTGTAAATTATTGGGATATTTATTTTTTGATTGAGGGGAATTTATCAAAATTATGGCGTTGATAGTTTCAATTATATACATTTTATGTCTTTTAACGTATAGTTGATCAAAGTCGGTTCAGTAAAAACGAGAGTAATGTAGCTTATGAACGAGAAAAAATACAGAAAAGTAATAGTTACTTAGCACGCTTAAAAACCAAAATGACAGATGACAAATTTAAAAAATAAATCTTAATGCACTGTTTTAAGAAAAAAATTATGTGCAACACACAATGTGTATACTTTAAATACCTTGATTTTCTTCGGGTTCATAGTCAGACTCATCTCCTTCTAAATCAATTTTAATATTACTACTGCTATCATCCTCTTCTTTTTTCGATGAACTAAAAATAAGTAATATCGTATTTTAAAAATGACCACATGGATATCAACGTATGTAAAGGACATCAGTGGTAAACTATTTTTCTACTTGGAGATATTCTTCCTTGCTGGGTCAGAACTATAGACGTACAAAATATGCGTTCATAAGAGACCCCTTTAGAGCATTACCATTAGTAATAAATTACCCTTAACTAAAAATAAGTTTTCTCAGTATCAAAAAGATGATAACATATAAGAAATAAAATAAAAATATTGAAACAATCTACTCTTTTAATGTTTTTTTATTAAAATCGTCAAAAAGCACCCATTTAGAAGATATCAAGATACAACAAATACGTACGATTCTTCAGATAATTCTTCTTCGACAGATATACTCTCCGAATTTTCCCCTTGATACTCATCCTCTCTCTCAATAGACTGGCTGTTACTCCGAGATTTTGGTTGGTTATCTGGTTGCTGCAGAACAAAAACGATGATTATATTATAATTAATGATTGAAATAAGAATTTTTTACTTCTTCTTCTTCTTTTTCAATAGCCGTCAAGGATTCAGCATCAGCTAAATTATCCACAGCAATAGCCAAAAAAACGTTTAGTAATATATCTAATTTATAATCAGGATTAATTCATGAAATATATATGACATATATAATAGCATCAAATCAATCAATTATTTTATTAGTAAGTGTGTAAAAAAGGATACAATTACCACATATGAACAAAATTATAAAATATATGCAAGCCAAAACGCCAGGTGATGAAACCCCATTGTATGCTCTTATACCATTATACATCACCACATTCCAGTCTTCACCAGTTAATATCTGTATAAATTTAAAAATTTTAAGTATTATTATGTCTAAAACATAAGTTCTATGAAAACTTAAGTATATAACTAATAATTACCTGAAATACAGTAAGTAAACTTTGCCAAAAAGTGTCAAAATTACTACGGGGCTTATATTCAGTAAGCTCAAAGTTAAACTTTCCTCCAAATACTTGCATTCCTAATAAGGCGAATATTACAATAAATAAAAAGAGCAATAGAAGTAAAGATGCTATTGATTGTATTGAATTGAGTAACGAAGCGACTAAATTTGATAAAGATCTCCAGTATCTAAAAAAAAATTCTTGGTTATAGAAAAACATTATTTTTTGTATGATCATCGAGAGATAAATTAAAAAATTTATTAAATTAAATATTATTGAAGCACAACCTTTTATAGAAATTTTAATGGATAGTAGAAAAAATAATTTAGTGCACATCTTTTACTTGCATAAGAGTCAAAATCATGTGCATAAGTTACTGGCAAAAACAATTTGGTAGTTAAAATTATACATTAAAATTTTGATTTTATTTCTTTGAGTATAATATCAATAAAAAAATTATCAATTTACACTATATAGTTAAGTCTGTTTTTACACACAAACGAAATGCGATTAATAAGATAAAATAGGAGGCAAGAGATAAAAAATTACAGTTTCAAAAACTCAAAATCAATCTCTGGAAGTATCTGAAACAGTTTAATAAGAATTTATTAATTTATATTATAAATCAATATACAGTAATAAAAAAGCCTGCTCAACGTAACAAAAATATAAAGAACGAAAGAAGATTTCCATTGATGAAAGGGCTCAAAGAGTAGTTGACAAATCTTTTACTCAATGCTACAAAGAATATAAAGAACATATGAATTGTTTCCCTACCAAAGAGCTCTTAGCAATAATTGCCTTTCACTCTTATATACAGAATGTTTTAGACCTAAGTGACAACTCTTATAACATTTAAATGTTCAAACAGAGATTAAAATGACTATTATAAAAAACGATTCGATGAAAATCTGTAGATCGTGTTTAATTTTTAAAAATTGGTGAATTAATCCAAAAGCAAAATTAACTCCTATTTTTTAGTTCAACTTCGACGGCCATTCGCACATAGATAATTGGTCGTCAATAGGGACAAATTTTTTTTTTTTTACTTATAGTACATAACATAAGTTTTAATTTAACATATATTTAAAAGACACAGTATTTCCGGAACATTTTCAAAAGTTAAGATAAAAAAGTTCTACTTTTTATACATATGTTTCAAGTTTTAAACGTCTCCTATATAAAGGGAAATGGTTCGATTTAAAAAAAAGTATCTCGGATGAAAGTAGTATTTATAAAGTATTTAGAAACAAAAATGTATGCTGATCTATACATTTTTCAAAAAGTTATATTAATTTAAAGTTGAAAATATAAAATCAAAAATTTTAACACAAAAACAACAAAAAATAAAAAATAAGTCGTCGGGACAAATTTTTTTTTTAAATTTATACTACGTAACATAAGCTTTCATTTAAAATGAGTTCAAAAGGCGCAGTATTTCGGGAACATTTTCAAAAGATAAATTGAAAAAACGGTTTTTTGTGAAAAAGTTGTTATTTTGAATCCGCTCCTGTGGGCAGGTAAAGGATCAGATTATCAAAAAATTTATACAAAATAAATGGAAAATACTTAATGTTTCAATATAAAAAAAATGTTTGCTTCGTACATTTTTAAGAAAGTTATGGCACTTTTAAGGAAAAAAATGTCAAAGTTTACTAATTTTAAAATTTTAATTTTTTTGGAGATTTTCTCCATTTACAGGGAACGAGGGAATTTTTTTTCAATTTTTAAGAACAATGTCTTTAACTAGATTAGATTTGTGATTTTTTGAAGTATGGTTAAAAGATATCGTTCCAGTGAGAGCTGGAAAAGAAAGAACAAAAACACATCAAAGCAAAATTAATATCTTTTCACCTTAGCATCGAAGCTAAAAGTTTCAATAGTATGATAATTGTATCAAAAGTTATAAGCGTTGTTATTTAGGTCTGAGACACTCTGTATAGTGGTAATAGTTTGAATAGTTATATCGATATTTTTAGAATTTCAAACAATATTTTTAACTATGCTTAAGATTTTTGTGATCATAAAACATATTATCCGTAACTATCATTCCAAAAATATGAAAATTACTTAAAGAAATATTACCAAATCCCATTTTTATAACCGTAAATTATATTAGTTCCCCCTCTTAGCCGCATTGATGAACAAACGGAAAATATTTATATTCTTATATACGATAAAATTTACCAACAAATATTATTCAAAATATTATTTAAAAGACTCTGCAAAAACAATATAACACTATCTTTCAAATTTTCCAGGAAGCTGAATAAACTACACATTTTTAACACTTATACTGTAAATTTAAAATACACTATATTTTTCAACATATTTATCATAAAATTTTTTCTTGGATAAATGTACTCCTTTTTTTAATGTGAATTTAGATCCATAGAAATTTGATTTTGAAAATAATGGAGATTTTGTATAGAACCCTTTAATTATACTAATAAGAAGACTATAGCATGTGTTAGTGACAGTTTTGGAATTTTTATACAAATTATAAATATTTGACAAATTGTTATAAGAAATGAGTTTTCTACTGTTGGTATTACTTCATTTTCTAACTATCCCAAATTACGTTAATAAAGTACTCCTTTCGTTCGTGAGAAATCATATACATTTATTTTCTTTAAACCACTTCTGTTTTATTTATTAAAATGTATAATATAACGTTAATTAAATATTTATAATTGAAAAAAAATATCAACCAAATCTTTTTCTTAAATGAATTAATATTTAAAATATAATCAAAAAATCTTTATATACTTCTATGTTATTGATGAGATAATCTCAATGTAGTACATTGAAAGTAATATAAGATACCGAGGCTACCTCATCAACAATGAAACAATAAATTTTCAACCGTTAGACACTACGTAAATCAGAAATTTTCTACCATTTACAGAGCACTAACAAATAGTGGAAAGTTGACACCTAAATAAAACGAAAAAAAGTAAATTAATACATTTTGGACATAAAACAATATACGGCACATATTTTCCTACGATATCTTTAAAACTACTAAATTATCTGCTAATTTTAATGAAATCAAACGAATAAAACTGTTATAGGATGCTAGTAAGTACAATTACTGACTACTTTCGTGTATATACATGACATGCACTTGCGTTATTTTTTATTTGTTTTTTAGTTAAAATAAATAAATATTTATGGTTAAATAATCATTTATAAAATTAAGTGGTATATTTACTTAGTAACTTTGAAAACCCTGAGTAATCGAACGCAACGTAATACTGATACTCCTAACGGTAACATTAGTTGCGATCTTGTTAAAATCGTTTCCGTTATGCTTCCAATAACAACGAAGCAATCAAAACGATTAAATAATGAAACAAAATACCCCTGTCAATAATTATTAAAGGACATTTGAGTGACTCGTGTTAATTGAAGTTTTTAAAAGATAGAGGATATTAAATACCTGAATCCCAAGACTGTACATTTTCAGTAACATTTCCATTGTAAAGAGTGTAATAAAAAATACATTGGTAACTTCTAAATAATTAAAAAGATATATTAAATTAAACAATTTTTTTAATAAAATTCCACTTAAATACCTTGAAAATCATCAAGCCATTCTTCTTGTTGATAATGTTCAGTAGCTAAAACGCCAGTATTAAAGAAAACTAAAACTATAATTAACCAATAGAATGCCTGTGATTTGACAGCTTTTCGGCAAGCTCTCCTTGCTCTACGATTGAGTCTTAAAAATATACATAATATTAAATAATGAATTGGAAATTTATTAAATCCAAGTAAAAACGGTACTTGTCAAATTCTTTTCGTTTTTTTTTCCACCAAGATTTATTGTGATCCAATTCATCACCTTCAACTCGATTGGTAGATTTATTTTCATTAAAATTATTGTCTGTTTAAAAAATTAGGATATTTGTTAAAATACATAGAGATACATCTTAATTCAACAAATAAAATTATAAACACAATTATGTCATTTTAAGTAATTGAATTTACTTTGCCTATTAGTAGACTCGTCTTTATCATCTAGATCTGGTTCTATATCTTCTGCTTGAGTTATCCAATCTAAATAACCACGCAAATCTTCTTCAAGTTGTTGCTTCTCTCGGAGTTTTTGAAAATCTCCTCTTGCTTTAGCTTTTTCTCTTTCTTTCGAAAACTCTCTAAAATAATTTAAGATAATACAGTTCTTTCTTTAAATAAAAATAAATGTATAATTGTGAAACATACCCGCTCAACACACCGAGAATGAGATTCATGACGAAAAAGGCTCCAAGAATAACCATGGATACGAAATAAATCCATTGCCAACTACTTCCCAATGCATCTTCGATCTTTAATAATTAAAAATATTAAAAGGAATATTACAATGATTTAATTTGACATAATATTTACGTTTAACCTAAACTTACATTGTATAAAACGTCAGTCCATCCCTCAAGTGTAATGCATTGAAAAACAGTCAACATAGATAAACCGAAATTGTCAAAGTTTGTTATTCCCCAGTTGGGTCCATCCCAGTAGTCACAGTAATAATTTGGTCCGTATGAACTACAATCAAATCCATTAATTTCGCCAGAAAGCCCGTCGTCACATGGATGGGGATCATCCATTCCTGACAACAAAATAAATTTTAAAATTTAAACTTTATAGAAGATTTTACATCATCTATTGTACTTGTATTATTTTTATAGCAAGTTGTGTGCAATGCTCCAGAAAATAGTTCCAAACCGATAATCGCATAAATGATGATAACAAATAAAACCAACAAAGCAATGTGTAGTAGAGGAACCATAGCACGAAGAATAGAATTTAACACTACTTGTAAGCCTACGAGATAAAATATTAAATGAGTACGACACATTTCTATTAAAATTTTACAATTATAATTTATTATAATCAATATGTTTTTTCCGGTACAGTAAAATGTTAATTTCAAAAAAAATATATTAATTTTTACATGAATTAGAATTTTTTAACAGATGCAATGTAAAGGAAAATTTTAATAAATAGTAATAAAAATGTTATATTTTTATATATTTTCGACATTATATGCCAAATTTCCCATTTGTATATAAAAATATAATACTGACAAATGAGAATTTTTGGATCATTTCTTACAGTGTATATACTTCTCAATTTATCAATTATTAAGTACCCTCTCGGTTTATCCCATATTAATGGCAAAATACATATTTAACTAACTTATAAAACAGAAAATGATTTAATTAAGAAAAAGACTGGTTGATAATAACTAATATATTTCTGAAGTTATTACAATTTTTAAATGTAGACTGGAGATGAGGTGCGAGTATAACTAATTATATCATTAGTTATTTCTTCGTCGCACTCCTTCTTCTACCTAGATATGTAACTCAAAAAGAGCCAAAAATTATATTCTCAAAACTATTTATAGTTTATAAGTAATAGAGTGGGTCATGATAAACGGATCATCTTATATTATTATTATTATTGTTAATTATTGGTACTTACTTGGAACTCCCGATACCAGTCTCAATGGTCTCAATACTCTAAAAGCTCGCAGGGCCTTTACATCGAAATTATTTATGAAACTTATACCTCTGTAATAATCAAATTATAAATATATTAAAAACACATAACATTAATCACGAATTTTAACTAAAATGAATTGCGAATAAATAAAACGCACCCCATAAGGACGATGGTAAAATCTAAGAAATTCCATCCATTTCTTAGATAAGCACCTGGATGAGCTACAAATCCGTAAGCAATTATTTTCATAATACATTCTAAAGTAAATATAACCAAAAATACACGTTCAATATTTTCCTGTTAACAAACATTAATGTTATGTAATGCAAAAATTAATTTTTTTTTAAATTGTTTTACGAACTTACCAAATATCCATTAACTGTATTTGAATCGTTACATGGATAGGGAGTGTAAACTGCTAAAGCAACACAATTCGCAAAAATTGTTAACAAAATTAAATATTCGAATGGTCTTATTATAGATATAAGGAAAATAAATCAAACTAAATAAAACTTTCATTTATCAACTTAATTAGTATTATTCTAAGAGGGGACATCTTTAATTTATTAGTTAAATAACGAGAATTTTATTTAAGTGCTATATTATTAAAATTACACAACAGCTAAAACACTAACTAATTAAATATTTTAATAAACACATGTAATTTTCATCAGACACGTGTGTTTTTTTAAATATTTAGATAAAAACATTTTTCTATTACATAAAATTTAATCATTTATTAAAAACCATCTTAATGAGATTTAAAATAAAATCATATTAAAAAATCCTATTTATTGAAATTTCTTTCCTAGTATTTAAATTTCAAAAATTTTTATTTATTATTATTTATTATTTAAAGTAACATTTTGAACACACAGACAGTATAAAGAGAAAAATGTATTTTTCTCCCCAGAGAAACCATACATATAATATGTTTGGCACCTAAATATAATGAAACCAGTACAAATAATTAATTGCTATAAAATAAAAAAAATACAATATAGTTTAACGAAACTTTAGTAAAACGAAAAATATAATGTAATCAATTTTTATCTTTAACAATCTGTTAAAGCGTCAAAAATAATAATATTCTAGAGAAATATTTTATGAAAAAATTTGAATCGATTTTATATAAGTTTTAATAATTGTTTTCTAAAAAGGATACTTCCATTCTATTACATCTATGCACAACTTCCTCAACGGATTTTTAAGAGTCAAACAGCATAATGCCCTCTGTGGACGGTCTGGTAGTTGCTTTCCAGGTCTCCTGGCAGGCCTTTTTACCACTTGTTTGGTCTGATTGTTTGTCGCCGCATTATTGTTGTTATTATTGGCATTGACATTGCTATTAATGGTATTGACGTTGTTAGCTGGATTATTATTGGTGATATTGTTAAGTGAAGTCTTTGGATTGACATTAATGTCATTTATAACACTCATAATTCTTTATAAATCATTTATTTTGAATTTTAAGTACTTTATGTAATCTAAAATATAAAATAACTTGTTAATATTATAAAGACAAGTTGAATAAATTAATATTTTGCAATAAAAATTAATGTAATTATAGATTTAAGACTTTTTTTAAAAAGTGAGTTACTTCAAATGAATTAGATTTGAATTGGCGTTCTACATTTTTAGACATGCTTCAATTTTACTAGAAATTTAATTCTGTAGAGAGTTCAGTGACTAATTCTCAATTAATGAAAAATCATTACAGCAGCTAACGGGTAGTTAAATAAAAGAGATTTAATTTTGAGCTTAATCAATATAAAAGATTAAATATAACCTTTGATATATCAATATTATTATTTTAAAAATACATAAATAATAATGCCGTTAACTTAATGAGAATCCCTCATACTAATTGCTATTAAAAAATAAGGGTATTGTTTAAAAACTAAAAGCCTACCTTTAGTGCATGTTTAAAATATAAGGAATTTATTGCAGTAATGAAAAACATTTTTTAACAAAATAAATACACCTCTCACTCACATTTAACCATCTTATATTTTTTGGAAACAAATATATTTTAAATTGTAAAAATTAATTGGAAAACTAAAATATTCTGATATAAGAAATAATATTATATTAAGTGGATATTTCATTCATTCAGTATTTTAAGATTATTAAAATATTTCAAATATCTAGCGTTTCTATTGTATCTAGTTAACTATTGTGAATACTTATACTCTCATAGTTTAGTACTTTAATATTCAAAATTAAATGTAAAATTAAGATTATAAGTTATTTAAAAAAAAAATTACAGTAAAAAATAACTAATAAACTGATAATTTAAAATATCTGTCCTTAACTGAAACACTTTAAGCTGATCCCGATAAGTTTCCTATCATTTGACTTTCCGCGTCAACTTGTCTAAGCTAAATCGATACATTTGAGAATATTTTACTTTCCGACAGCAAAGCTGTTATTTATGAGCATAGTTTCCGTTTTGTGATAGTCTCCATCATTAGTTACTTGTCACGACTTTTATTTTTATAAACATATTGTTAGAATAACTATTATAAATAGCACATTCCATGTATGGGTTTTTATAATTTTAATTCAATCTTTTTCAAAACCTAACCTGCAATGAATGGAATTTTAAATCTAAAACAGAGTATTTTAGTCATAGAAAAGAAAATCTGAGATAAAATAATATTAAAATTATACAATTAATACAACTCTTTACTTTGTCTTTAGAAAAAATAATGAATTAAATTTCTGCCTGTATACTTTTATAAAGTCAACAATTTATTATTTTCGTTATAATTTTTTTTTGAATGATCTATAAAGTAAATTTATAGATTATTTATTTTTCATATATGAAAAATAAATTTTTCTCTGATTTAAACATTTTTTGTATGATTGGCAACAATTGATTTTGATGATAAATCACCTTTAGACTGCAAAACTCAGTTATTAAATTAATATTAAAAGACTTTATTTTAATAAGATTTTGTTTAGATTTGAACAGTTGTTAAGTATTATTTTTGTAAATATTCTTGCACTATTAGTACATAGATGATAATGCAATAATTATAAGTATTTGTTTTCCTAGGTTGTTTCGTTTAAATTAATTTTAAAATTGAGTGCACATAAGCTTTTTAGAGTACAAGATTAAGTTAATATTAGTATTAGCGTTTACGGTTTTACACTTCATAATAATGTTATCGATCCTTTAAGTTATGTTTAGTTTTCTTAAAATAAATTACTCTACTTTACTCAACTTCAATATTTTCCTTTATAGTTTTACTAAACTCGCGGTACTCGCCCATCAAACCGTATCACTTCTGACGTATCTTTAATAATTTTATCGTTAATAAAACAGATTTAGTACGCGCGAATATATGAATTATAGAATTCAGTGTTATAGTTATGTGATTTATAATTACAATAACGTCAACAATTTATTATATTTAAAATTATTTTCAAATATAATATATCTTATATGTTACGATCAATATAGAATTACAGACAGTGTGATACATTGACCGGGTATTATATATTTGCCCTGTGTTTTATTCAATGTAATATATTTATTTATTTGGATTACATGACCGGGCAATATGGTGTTACCCCGGTAAATAGATATTGTAATATGGCTTAATGAAAAAAATACAAAATAGTAAATTCCTTGAATATGAATTTTTGTGTAAAATCCATTTTGTTTATGATTTTCATTAGGTCGTTTCAAAATACATTTTCATAGATGTATTTTAATCGTGTATTAACTGAATTGTCCTGTCTTTGTGTAAGAATATATATCCCTTTGTATTTTGCTGGTATGAACCAATTAATTTGCCATAAATAAGTTTCAGGAATATTCTAGAGCTAGCTAGTCAAACTTAACTTCTTCACTCTTGCTAATGTTACCGGTTACAACCTTTTTAGAAATACCAAGATTTCTTTTTTACTTTCTGATTAAGCTGTCCTTTGTAAAACCAACCCTGAGAATAAGCGTTTTAAAATCAAAACGTTTTTTAAGCAAAGGGAGCTATTTTATTAGTGTTTTTTAAACTATTATAATTAATTGACTTCCAGGCGTTGGGCGTCATACTTTCTGGCACCCGGAGGACAAAAACGGGAGCCGTGCTCCTCGAAGTTCGAGGAACCGGAGCTCAGGCTGATCTGGTGGCCTGCAATATCAGAGAGGCGTTGAACGGCATGGATGTCAACGTGCACCACTTGGCGATGTCCGTGGCATTCATGCGGTTGAATATGGAGGAGTGGATAGTGGAAGAGGATGTCAAAGAGACGTTGACCACTATCTTCTCGAAAGAGGATGATGCCGCACCGACCGGTTCAGTTTGAGTTCGGCTGCATGAGAGAGGTAAGGGCCGTTCTACATGGTGTAAGGTGACCATTAGGACCACAGCATTGTTGGTCGGTCTGACACGACTCCTACAGGTGCCTCAAAAGAGGCCATGTGCAGACATTATGTAGGGTTCCCGACCGGATCGGCACGTGTGCTTTGTATGCAGAGCAGTGGGCCACCAACTGTCCTAGAAAGACGGGAGTGCCGGAAAAGCCTCTCTAAGGTATCTCTAGGTCATTTGGTCTTTCTGTTTGTGAATTATTTGCCAACCCACAGCAAAACCCTACCCCCACCTCCATGTGGTGTGACGGTCCCACTCTGAATCCGGCTAACGGGGAAGTCACGCCGTGTTGTGAGTTTTAATGCGACGTCGGTCGCCCTGGAACTGCTGCGAGGCATTTCCAGGGCGACCGACATTATATCGACTGTATTGAAAATAAAAAAATTAAATATACAACAATATTTAAAAATATGATATTGACACATTGCATCAATTTTACGCCAGGCAGTACTACATTGACCGGACCAAGTTGAGCTTTAGTTACATTGCCCGTAATTGAGTAAAATCAATATACATATTGCCATAATTCTACATTAACTATAATATATTCTATAAAATTTAAACATAATAGTTAATGATACAGGTGCTTTGGTGTTAAAGCGTCTGTAATATTTATGGAATAAGTTTAATATATAGGTCAGTAATGAATATAGCAGATATAATCTTGATGATAAATTATAATTATATTTTTTTTGTATTTATGTATATAATTATACTGTATCCAGTATTTTTCGATGAGGATCTAATATCAAAGAAAAATTTAGTGATATTTTTTTAGAACTTTTTTTCTAAAATGTTTGCATTGCCAATAGGATAGGATTAGCCATTTGAGACTCCTGGATACGCCCTAATTACGTGACAGTTGAATAAAAAAATACATTATTTGATAAAAAACACGTTAAAACAATCTCATATTCGTCATTTCCCAACACTCACTAGTAATACGGTAGTCTTTTATTTTGGATATCGTTTTCTAAATTTATTTTAAATTATTTATACTTTATACACGTCATCTTTCATAAATATTCTCCTAAACGTCGTAAAAATTTATGTCTGTCGGATAAATGTCGATAAAGTTATTACTAAATTATTCGGTAAGTTGACGTGAATTAAGTAAAAAAATCAAATATCAAATCGTATTCAGCAATTCGCGTATAAACCTTTTTTTATAATTATAAAATAATTAATTATACAATTGTCATACGTAAAATCTAAACACACCATCATATTTAACGATATAAAATATATAAGATTATATTATATCATTACTTAATTAATTAAAAATAATTTATACTATACATATTTAATTTTGTATTTCACTTAATGTAAAATACATAAAAATGTATTTGGTTTAGATCCTCCTCGAGATGAAAATACTAAAATAGTATAATTTTTTAGGTTAAGAGGATATAACAAAGAAATGTTTATATTTAAAAAAAATACTTGAGAAAACCTCACATAAAAACACTGGTATATTAAAAGATCTCTAATTTAACGTTAAACTTGATGAAATATTTAAAAATTTTAATAAAAATTTATTATTTTTAAGATATATGTTGTTCATAAAAAAATGTATTTTCCCATCAAGAGCATTTTATTCATGCAAAATTCAAAGTAATATTTTTAATTGTATTTTTTTAACTAAATGTTCTTTTTTTTACTTAAAACATAATGGTGCTGGAAAATACATTTTTTTTAATTTCAGCTAGTGTTAATGTAAGTTTTAAAAATTATAATAAAAATACATACTTTTGTACCATAAAAGGATTTGTTTTAACGTTTCGTTTGTATCACTAAGCGCTTAATTAATACTAATAATTACCAGACAATTGGCATAACGATTTTTTTTTTTTAGAAATTTAAATCATCTTAAAGAATAATTTTGTTATTATTTAAGTTAAACGCGCTTAACTATAACAAACGAGACACTAAAGATAACCGAATAAATTATTTTGGCTTAAAAATTGTAATAGTAATTTATTGAATCAATACTTAATTTTTAACTCATACAAATGACTTAGTCTTAATAATTTAAATCAAAGGTGTCACATAAATATCTTGATTGAGCGACTTATAATTAGCAAATTATTATTAAAATAAATAAAAGTAAATTGTTTATAGTTCAAATGTTCAATTCATAAAAAACTTAATTTACCGTCCAAAATGTTTTGGATTAACTAATACATGTATTTGAATTGAAACAAATGAAGTATTTTGGCGTTTTCGTGAGATAGGCGAAGAACGAATGTCTCATTTATTGATCATGTATATAGTAGAATTTAAAATATTTTGAATTAATTTTTTAAAGCGTTATAATTATAAAGGTACTGTTTAGTTTGAATAAAATAATAAGTCATACGATTAAAAATAATTAAACTTTTGAAATGATGTTTATTGTACCCTTCCCCCCCATATAAATAGTCTAAAGGTGCGCCTAATGCCACTTCGCTAAAATAAAAATAACTAGAATACTTTTTGTCTAAGTATAGCATATTACTGTAAGGATTGACTTCCCATTTCACACTTTGTAAAATTTGCCGTATTACCAAACGTTGAGACTGTGAAAAATAATTTTATAATGAATTTCTTTTTCTTTTGAGTTTTACAATCTATACAATACTAGTACAATAAGTATAATAGATGATAATGATTTTTTGATATTATTATTTTGAGAAGAGAAGCTGCCCACTTACAATACACCTTTTGAAGTGATATTATTTAGTAATTCAATTTTTTTTTTAAATATTGTAGGATTAAAAGATCTCTGTAACAATAATGGATTTTTTTTTAATTATTCTACCAAAAAAACGCATTATGTACAAATACATAGAAAACTTTGAAATTTATGTATTTGTTTGTAACTATATCCTGACAGACGCTTTTATTTGTTTATAAAGGTCTAATAGGAGGATTTCTAACATCGTAAATTAACAAAACTTATGGTTTCCTTAAAAGTAGATTGTGCGCGTTTAATATTAATTTGGGAACGAAACAATTGATATTAGTCGATTGTCCTTAAGTATTTTACCTTACTTGTCCCAACAGATAATGAAGGAATCTTCTTTACAACTAAAACTTTGATGTTTTGATCAACTGATCACTATCTGTAATTTCCATAATTAAAGAATATTTCTAAAAATTATATAATGTAATCAAATTCAACTTCAGTGAATCTGGTAGATTATTTTTAACAATAGCTCGAAATAAATGACACTTTAATTTCCATAAGTTGCTTAAAGTGAGTATTTAATTCAAAAAGTTAATATTTAGTTTTTAAAAAAAAAAAAAAAAAAATTAAATTTCACAAAACCGATAAGATAAGTTTTAAATGGCGAATGGATACACATGAACGGTCAATATTACTTTTCGGAAATTACTTAATCACCTGATAATGATCTTTAATCGGGGTCGTTATCACATGTAGCAACGGTTTTATTTTCATAACATTGTTAATTGCATTTATAGGCTTAGAGTTTTGCCAGAAAATTGTTCACTACATAGTACCAAGTATTGGGGAATCAATGAGTTTAATAATAGCTTGCAAACTAGAGATATCATTAAACAGTAATGACTATCGAGAACATTTATAACGGTAATAATTCACTGTACTATTACTTATTACTGCATAAGAAATTTTTTTAATGAATTGATACAAACCGATAGATTATGATGATTGTTGAGGAAAGTAATTGAGATAGCGGTAGCTGTCTTTGGAGTCATGCGAAAAAAAATTTTATACTATAAAAAATCACAATTGTTGAAGATGAATAGCAAAACAGACTCTACGGACGGATAACGGCGCGTTAGCAACGACAGTGGCACAGCGACTGGCCGGCGGCAGTAGTGCGAAGTTCTAAATAAAAACTCTATGGGGCGCCCATTAAGCTCAGACGCAGTGTGCTTCTGTTGCTGACGCCGCATGATGTTGGCCGCCGATCAGCGATCATCAGCGACGGCGTCAAGTATGCCGTCACGCATGCGTCAATGTTGTTAATAATTCTTTTTCGACTATGCCGCCGCCGTCTTGAATAGCGAGATCCTGTCTGCCTTTGCTCAGCCGCACTCGGATCCAACGTTGGCCCAAACGCGCGCGCGTTCCTCGCCCACCTGACGGCGACAACGGACAGCACTAAGCATTTTCAGTAAATCCCTCTTTTCCACCACTCTCTAATTTCACACCGCAATCCAATAGCACTGTATCTTTTGTACTATCCAACGGCGATCTAACATATTGGGAATTAAAATGTATGTATTAATAAACGTTGGTCAGCTGTTAAAAATATCGTACTACCGACTTTCATTCATACCCGTTACTCAACTAATCGTTGAAATCATTCTCTTCGGTTCAAATAACCTAATCCAATATTTTAACTATCATTCTAGTCAGTAGTGTATAAATACATTTTTTTATTTAGGGTATGTAATAATTCCATAGATATGAGCGGGCCACGTGACTAATGAGTTCTGCACGTAGCGGTGGATTTTTAGGATATTGAGGATAAGAAAAATGTTTATTATCTCCTCTAAACAAAAAAATGTTGAATTATTTTATACGGGGGATTTATCTCACTTCAACCCCTCCCCTCCTGGTACTTTGATTTATCTCGAGCCCCGCAAAATTTAACGCCGGCCTTGCATATTATTGAAATTATAGTTCTGATAACATTAACTGTGGATTGTTAAAATATCAGAGAACATAAAACTGTTATGTGTCCACGTTTATTTTAAATCTTAGAAGTGTTAAAATTATTTGAATTGCCAAACAAAATAAAAATCTGTTTCCTCTAAAATGTATAAAATAAACAAAAACTTTGAAACCTAAGATTGAAAAATTATCTACAAAAATGTGATCTAATAATTCTATTACCTTTAACTTAAGTTAAATAATTTTGATTACAAACAAAATGTATTTCATACACTTTTATCAATCTTATAAAGAATACATTTTTTTTTTGTACAAAAATATTGTCTGCGATTTAAATTTGAATGGTTACTTTTAAAAATTAATCGGACTTACAATTATTTTGATGTGATTGGCTGAGGAATTAACCTGTAGATAGCCAGTTTTGAGTCACTACTTTTTGAATATAGTAAACACATTTTTATATCAATTCAATTTTTAATTGTATTATTAGAATAATATTTATTCGAAATAATTTGATTGTTTTTAGATTATTACTCAATTCACATTATTTTGACCTAATACTATTAACAACCCTTACTTAAGTTACACTGTAATATAAAAATAGAAATAAATGTAATTAAAAATTATCTGCGAAACTACAGAAGCTAACGTAGCTTAACACTAGAAACTATTTTGACTACTGAACCATAATCATAAGAATAAATTGACAAATTTAATTATAAGTCTATAATAAGTTTTATTAATATTTTACAATAGGTAATCTGTAAATATTTTTTTCTAGTCAACAGTTTAAAATTTTAAAAAGAAAACTATGGTGATGTTTTTACTAAATATAATTATGACAATATTGTTATGAATAAAAACGTAAATTATGATTTTCTTAACATAAAAAAAAATTATGAATTAAGTTAATAACAATAAACAATATAATAAATTAGATTATGCCTGCATATGAGATAAAACTTCCAAATTTTTTATAATTATAAATTTGAGGTAAACACAACTTTTTTGTAAATCTGAATAATAATGAAATAAATATGAAACTATACTTCTTATAATCCATTAAAACAAAAATAATCTAATGTTACAACTTATAATGAGGATATATCCAAGTCAATTTTAACATCACTAAAAAAAATTTTTTTTTACATGATTTGTAACCAAAAATAAATCATTTATTGAGTTACAACGCATCAAAAGAAAAGAAATTCATATTTTATATTACAATTTTAAAAAATACCTTAGGTATTAATTTAAAGATATATCCGTATTAGATGAGATACATCAAACTTTACTATTTTCTTAATAACGAATTTTATAACATAAGAAAAATATAAAAATTTGTTTAAAAAATAATCATATAAAAAAAAAAAAAATAGGTTTACTATTATCGGGACTTGTTTAAGAGTGCTTTTATGTCATCAGCATCTAAAGTTTCATATTGTAATAGTGCTTCAGCTAATTGTTTATGCTCTTTTTGATGAGCAATTAGTATATTTTTAGCACGATCATATGATTCCTGAAATAATTATATTAATAAAATATTACATAGTATTACTCAGTATTTTTTATGTTACCTGCATAATTCTCTTAATTTCCTGATCAATTATTTCATTTGTTGATGGACTTAAATCACCACGACTCATTAATTCATTAGAATGAGAATCATGTGTTCGTAAACCTACTTTTTCAGACATACCTAATTCTTTTACCATTCTAGTGGCTATATTTGTTGCTTGCTGTGAACATAATTTTTTAAAAAATCATTAAAAAAATTAAGTAAATATACATAGCATAAAAAAACATTAAACCTTTAAATCATTTGATGCTCCAGTAGTAACTTTATCAGCACCAAATATTAATTCTTCAGCAGCACGCCCTCCCATCATAGTATCCATAATAGCCAACATTCTAGATTTTGTTATGTGGTATTCCTCTTTAGCAGGAATATATGCTGTCTGCAAAAAACATTAAGTTAATATAATTTGTTAATGGAAAAATATTTTTTAGTTATTTTTATAAATATTCAATTTTTGATATTAAATAAAAAACGTCAAATTTAAAAATATAATAGTAATAATCCACAAAACAGTGATATTTTGGTTTGGTTATCATGTGGTTATGTCATACTAAAAAAATTAAATATATAATAAAGGGGATCTCAATATGTTGAGATACATTGTATTAGATTATAGACATATGGATTTCTTTTTTTTTATCATACAATTTATAAAAAAAAAATATAAAGTAAGATTATTTTCTTAACACATACATGGCCAAGTGACGATCCTCTTGGCATTATGGTAACTTTATGTAAAGGATGAGAATCTTTGGTATAATAAGCTACAATTGCATGACCACCTTCATGATATGCTGTTATTTTATTGGCTTCATCGTCTGGAATTTTAGTTTTTTTTTCAGGACCTTAAAAAAAAATTAGATGACATAATTAAAACAAAATTACTATAAAGTTAATTAGTATATTTTTAATATACCCATCAATATTTTATCTCTGGCTACTTCTAAATGTTTCATGGAAACTGTTTTAGCCCCTTCACTGGCAGCTTTTACAGCTGCTTGATTAACCATGTTTTCAAGATCAGCACCCGTGAATCCAGTTGATCCTCTAGCTAACAAATCTATATCAATATCTTGACAGTTAATTTTTTTCAAATAAAGTTCCAGTATTTGTTTACGACCACTGTAATCTGGAATAGGTACCTGAGAAAGATTTGAAACATAGTTTTTCCTATTAACTTCTAACTTACAAATGTTATCACAGCAAAATTTTTATTATAACATGTTGATCTAAAAACAATTTATTTATTTTTAGCTGTAAAAATTAACTTTACTTACATCTACTTCAATATCAAATCGTCCTGGGCGTAATAATGCTCGATCTAAATCATCACGTCTGTTAGTAGCTCCAAGGACCACAATATTATGATTTTGGTGAAAACTTCAATATATAAGACATTAAAAAAAAAAAAAAAAATACTACTAATTTCTAATTTACCTACCCATCCATTTCTGTAAGAAGTTGATTTATAGTTTGATTAGCATAAGGATGAAATACGGAATTAGTTCTTTTAGAACCAATTGAATCTATTTCATCAATGAATACAACACAAGGTGATCGCTCTTTTGCTGCTTCTAAATTAAAATTTTTCTTGTAATAATAAAACTTGTTAAAAAAAAAAAAAATTATAAAATTTTTTAAACACTTTTACAAAAACTTAAATTATTTTATCTTTATACAATAATTTTCCAAAGTTACATGAAAAATAGAAACAAATTATGGTTTTTAAAATTGGAATTTTTATACTCAAATCTTTAATATCTTTTTACTACAAACATGCATGATACTAGTATAAATTTTATACACTTAAATTTTTTTTTATATTAAACATATACTAGCTAGAAAAAATTAAATTTATTTATCGAGTAATGATCTTATCATTACTCACTAAATAGATCACGGACTCGTCTAGCACCTTGACCAACTAAAACTTCATCAAATTCTGAACCTGCAGCATGAAAAAATGGAACTCCAGCTTCACCTGCAACAGCCCGGGCTAACAATGTTTTACCAGTTCCTGGTGGTCCAACCAAAAGAACTCCTTTTGGAAGTTTTCCTCCAAGAACAGAAAATTTTTCAGGATTTTTAAGAAATTCAACAATATCTGTAAGTTCTTGTTTGGCTTCATCGACCTAGATTATACAATTAAACTCAAAATAATATTATCATTAGATATTATAGTTTACAATATACCCCTTTAATATCATTGAAAGTAATTGATATTTGTTCTGAATTTACTTCTGATTGACTTGTAATATTTATCTTAAATATGGACCCAGTTAATGCCACTGTAATAAAACATTGCAACATTAATATAATTACTTCACAGTACTAACATTAAATATTATTATGAAAATGTATTACTGAAAAGTGAGACAACACAAGTTACAGTAACTACAAACACAACTAAGGACATGAACATTTTCCAGAACTTCTGACTTTTTGTTGTGGCTGATTCAGATTTCTTTTCAGCTCCCAATAAATAACCTTCTGCAAAGGATAACTTAATACGAGCAAGTTCTTCTGAACTCATTTTTTTTGACTTTGATAATATACCTGTATGATATAAGAATATACTTGAAAGATGTAATATTATATAATATAATGCCTTTTTATCAGTTTTTTAACAATTATCAGTTTCAATAAAAAAAAAAAAGGAAATTTCTTAATTTATTAGTAATTAATGTATTATATTAAATGTTTTCAATTTTAAAAATACAATTATAATGTAATTCAGAGCACTATTTTCATAGTCCTATATAAATTTCATCTAAGTTAAATTACAAGAAAAAAAAAATACCATTATGATATTAACAACATATTTTTAAAAATACCATTTAAGAGCTCTTTTTACAATACTATCACATATCTTATAACTGAAAGATATAGGAGTGAAATGGTAAAGTTCATTTTTTAGCTTCGATGCGAAGCTGAGAAGGTATTGGTTTTACTAAGATGTGTTTATTTTTTATTTATTTTTTTTTTTTGTGTCTGTTACCACTTTTTCTCAGCTCTCACCGAACCGATTTCTTTCAATGATACGTCAAAAGATCACAAATCGTATCTAGTCGAAGACATTACCCTTCAAAATTGAAAAAATTTCCCTCGTTCCCCGTAAATGGGGGAAACCTCCAAAAAAATTACAAATTTAAAAATCGCTAATTTTCGAAATTTTTTCAATTTTTTTTACTTAAAATTGCCATAACTTTTTTTAAAATAACCAAATAAATATAATTCTTTTTTTTATAGATGCATGATATCTTTACCTATCATTTGGTATATTTTTTTTATAAATCTGACTTTTTACCTGCCCACAGGGGGGGATTTAAAATGACAACTTTTTTACAAAGAATTAATTTTTTCAACTTAACTTTTGAAAGTGTTCCGGAAAGTCTGACACTTTTATATATCTTAAATTAAAGCTAATGTAATATACTTTATTATGCAAAAAAAAAATTTCGGACTTTATTTTATCTTCACGGTGAAAATGGCTACCGAATTCTATTTTTGTGTAAAAATTTTCGATTTTGTATTTTACATTTTTAACTTTATTATGCTATAACTTTTTGAAAAATGTATGGATCAATACAATTTTTTCATGAGAAGTAGTATTTATATACATCTTTCATTCGACATACTGTTTTTTTAAATCAGACCATTTCCCTATATACGAGGGGGGTTCAAATCTAAAAAATGCATGTAGAAAGTAGAACTTTTTCAACTTAACTTTTGAAAGTGTTCCGGAAGGTCTGACACTTTTATATATATCTTAAATTAAAGCTAATGTAATATACTTTATTATGGAAAAAAAAAATTTCGGACTTTATTTTATCTTCATGGTGAAAATGGCTACCGAATGCTATTTTTGTGTGAAAATTTTCGATTTTGTATTTTCCATTTTTAACTTTATTATGCTATAACTTTTTGAAAAATGTATGAATCATTACAATTTTTTTATGAGAAGTAGTATTTATATAGATCTTTCATTCGACATACTGTTTTTTTAAATCGGACCATTTCCCTAAATACAGGGGGGATTCAAAACATAAAAATGCATATAGAAAGTAGAACTTTTTCAACGTAACTTTTGAAAGTGTTCCGGAAGGTCTGACACTTTTATATATATCTTAAATTAAAGCTAATGTAATATACTTTATTATGCAAAAAAAAAATTTCGGACTTTATTTTATCTTCACGGTGAAAATGGCTACCGAATGCTATTTTTGTGTGAAAATTTTCGATTTTGTATTTTACATTTTTAACTTTATTATGCTATAACTTTTTGAAAAATGTATGGATCAATACAATTTTTTCATGAGAAGTAGTATTTATATACATCTATCATTCGACATACTGTTTTTTTAAATCGGACCATTTCCCTATATACAAGGGGGGTTCAAATCTAAAAAATGCATGCAGAAAGTAGAACTNGGATTCAAAACATAAAAATGCATATAGAAAGTAGAACTTTTTCAACTTAACTTTTGAAAGTGTTCCGTAAAGTCTGACACTTTTATATATATCTTAAATTAAAGCTAATGTAATATACTGTATAATGGTAAAAAAAAATTTCGGACTTTATTTTATCTTCACTGTGAAAATGGCTACCGAATGCTATTATTGTGCGAAAATTCTCGATTTTATTTTTTACATTTTTAACATTATAATGCTATAACTAATTGAAAAGTGTATGGATCAACATATTTTTTTTTTTGAGAAATAATATTTTTTAATATTCCCTTTTTCATTTGACATACTTTATTTTAATCAGGATATTAATAAGGAACTAGCAGATCATGTAGCTTTTAGAATAATCCACTAATTTTTTAAAATTAAACACTATCTAAAGATTTGCATCGAAGCGTTTTTTTTTGATAGTGATTTTAATCACTGTCAGATATCATTATACTTGATCCA